GCTTGCTGGCCCTGCGGCTGCACCCCCCTCCACCCCTCGCCCCCTGGTCAGGAAGGAGGCCTCCAAGTCCTTGGAAGTGAAACTGCTGTTGACGAAGCAAAACTGGCTGGGTTTCCACGGGGACAAGTCGTCTGTCTTACCGACAGAGCCAGAGGGATGAGCACGGCAAATCCTCGAGGAAGTATTTTTCCTCCCATGATTCTGATTTGTCGATGACACTGCATGTTTCCATCTGTCCCTCTGAGGTTCGTGAATACCTGGTGACTCTGGACACCAGACTTGGTGTCTTGGGTGAAAGTCAACTCGAGTCCACTTGGAATTTGGGGCTTTGCTGGAGCGTTGGAGCGGCGCCTCTTATTTGGGCTAAAATTAACTTTCTCCGCCAGCACCTCCATCTCCCCGTCTGTGAACAGTGGACACGCGGACCTGCGCGGCCACAGGAGCTCGGGTGTGGCCACAGCACCTGGGCTTCGTAGCCGCCATGTGGCACGTTTCTGTCCTTGTGGTCCGAGCAGGAGGCCGCCCCTGGCTGCGCGCCGGGCCGTCCCGGGGGCCGTGGCCCCAGCCTGACCCCCCCCCGGCACCCCCGCCTGGCCCTCCGTTTAGGAAGGGGCTCCGGATGGATCGACACGGGAGCAGCACACTCTTGTCACCCCTGACAGAGCCCCGCATGCCCAGAGCGGGGGATCACGATCGGCCAGCCGGGCGGGGAGGGTTCTCACTCCCCCAGGCCTGGCACATACACACGGAGAAGACCTGCTCGTGCGCCGTGGGTGCCAGCCCTCGAGTCCTCTCTGTCTCTCCTTGCACAGCGCACATCACATACAGGCACGGGCCACACACAGACGCAGATACAGGCACAGACACACATATGCATAGACACAGGCGCAAAGAAGGGCAAACACAAACACACACGTAAATATATACACACAGACACACATATAGGCACAGACATTCACAGGCATAGGCACACACACACTCACACACACACACTCACATACATACCCGTGCATCCTCACACACACACACCCATGCATCCTTACACACACACTCACACACACCCATGCATACTCACACACACACACAGACCCATGCATCCTCACACACACTCATAGTCACACACACCTGTGCATCCTCACACACACACACAGACACACTCACACACTCATACACACTCTCACACACACACCCATGAATCCTCACACACACACACACCCATGCATCCTCACACACACACACTTACACACACAGTCCTCTCCAGCCTCCCCACAGCATCCCCACCCTGGATGGCCCCAGCTCTGGCCTTGTAAACACACACACACACAAATACAGGAATATACAGACATTCACATGCATAGACACACACAGACTCACACACACACACACTCACACACACACACATACATACCCATGCATCCTCACACACACACCCCCATGCATCCTTACACACACACTCACACACACCCATGCATCCTCACACACACACACCATGCATCCTCACACACACACACACACACAGACCCATGCATCCTCACACACACTCATAGTCACACACACCTGTGCATCCTCACACACACACACAGACACACTCACACACTCATACACACTCTCACACACACACCCATGAATGCTCACACACACACAGACCCATGCATCCTCACACACACACCCATGCATCCTCACACACACACACACTTACACACACAGTCCTCTCCAGCCTCCCCACAGCATCCCCACCCTGGATGGCCCCTGCTCTGGCCTTGTAAACACACACACACACAAATACAGGCATATACAGACATTCACATGCATAGACACACACAGACTCACACACACACACACACACAGGCACACATACACACCATCCTCTCAACCTCCCCACAGTATGGCTGCCCTGGATAGCCCCATCTCTGGCCTTGCAAACACACAGGCACACACACACTCACATGCACACACACACACACTCACTCGGCCTCCCCCGCCTTGGATGGCTCCAGCCCTAGCCTGCAAACACACACACACACTCTCACACACATGCACACACACTCCTCTCGGCCTCCCCCGCCCTGCACGGCCCTGGCTCTGGCCTGCTTCCCACGCGTCCTCCCCTTGCTCGTCCTGCAGACCTGGCTCCCACAGGGCGCCCGGCCCTCCCCTCCCGGTTGGGTCCTGCAATCAGCAGCAGCATCCCCACAGGCCTGGGGTCTCCTTTGGGCCCCAGGGGCATGTCCTGTTCACTCGAGGTTCCAGCCTGGGGCTCGGCCCCGGTCCCAGGGGGCACGAGATCTGGCCGGAAGGCTTTGAGGATGTTGACGATAATGAACTCCACGTACTGTGGTCCGGAGAAGCAAGGGGGTGTGTCTGTGAGTCTGTGTGAAAGCTATGAGTGTGTGTGGTGTGTCTCTCTGTGTGCAAGTATATAAATGTGTGTCTGTGTGTGTGTGTGAGTGTGCGTGTGCACGGAGGTGGTGACGTGACCACATCAGGGCTTCCTCTATCCACTCCTGGCTCCTCGGTCTCCTCAAAGACAAGTGGGAGGCATTTCAGGGACAAGGGGCTTCCGTTCAGCCGGGGTGCACCTCCAGGCCCTGCACCTCATTGGGCAAGCGGAGTGGGCTCCAGGGCCCCTCAGCTGGCCACTGGCGAGAAGTGAGGAGACCCGTGTGAGGACGTGGTGGCATCACTGCTCTGCAGGAGTCATGTCTGGGTACAGTGACCGAGACGGCCAACGTCATGGCACCCTCCCCGCAAAGTGCAGGGACCCCTGGCCCGCCCCAGCCTCTGTGACACCACAGTTCTGGGGCCCTGGGTGTGTGTTTAGGGAAACGTTGACAAGTAGCTTCGTAATAAGGCAAACGCCGATTGTACTCATTTAATCTTTGTTAAAAGCATCACAAATGATTTATTGATTTTTAAAAAGGAAAAATAAGAAAGAATTTATCGCATCTCTGTTATGTGCATATAGAAGTGTGGGCTCGATCCAGCTGAATGAGACGTTAGCGGTCCAAGCCCAGCCCGCTCTTCCCGGGGGCCCGCGCGTACCTGAACGTCAAAGATGCAGGACCTCAAAACGTGCAACCAGATAAACCCAGACCTACGTGTCGATCTACACGGTTATGGGGATGGAACGTATTCGGTTATAGATGCCAACTTATTCCCAGGCTCTTGGGTCCGCACACCCAAAACGCTCTTCATAGAAATGATGACAGAAAATACGAGAACACAAATAGCTGAAGGGAAACCCTATCCCATCAGCGAGAGAATGCAGCTGAGGGTCAGGAGGTCATGGCGGGTTGTCACCCACTGGCACTGCTGAGCTGCACCCGGGGGACTCCCTGCTGACCTTGACCTGGGACGGGGCCAGCGCTGACAGGTGTCTGACCCGGGAACGAGGCTCACAGGCCGGGCTGGGGTGGACGGCAGGACGCGGGGCTCCCTATAGGGGTCTTTGGAGAGGGCAGACAGGCTGGCGGAGGCAGAGGCCCCGAGAACCCAGCCTCTCTCCACGGTGCCTCGCAACTCCTGGGCTTCCCCGAGGAGGGCCTGGAGGACGTTCTGCGGGGCCGCAGGGAGGGGATGGGGGACGCCCCTGGCACCGCACCGTGACCTGCAGTGACCCCTTCTGAGCCGGTCTCAGACCCCATTTGTCGCACGTGGGGCTGGACGCCAGGGTCCCCCCCCCACCTGCGGGAGCTGCTCTGGGGGTGCGGATGACCCCTCGCAGGCTGAGTTTCTTTTCTGCGGAAGTGAGCTAAGGCTCCCCACTGCCCCGGGCTTCATCCTGAACTCCTCGCAGCCGGCGGGTCCCAGCCTGGGCTCTATCTAGGGTGTCCCCGCCTCTGGGGGGAGGCTCTGGCCACCCAAGAGCCCAGGGAGGGGGCGGGGCGGGGCCGCCGATTTCCAGTTTCAAGGCAAAAGGTGAAACCCGCCCGCAGATTCTCCCCGCGTCCCTGATTCTAGGCATCCGTGAGGGAGGGTCGAACTGTGTGGGAAGCAGGGGCTGGCTCCTGGGGCACCTCCGCGGCCCTCGTGCTGTGTGTGACCCAGGGGCAGCCGCTCCCTCTCTGGGCCTCAGCGGCTCTGTCTTCAAGACAAGGCGGGCACTCCCTATCTGCCCTGCAGGCTCTGCCTTTCTAACCTCTCCTGGTTCCTGGGTTTCTGCGCGGCTCCCTCAAGCATAGAGGGCGCGCAAAACACTGGGCCTCTGTCTCGAGGCCGCACCCGGGGCGGTAAGCCGCCCATGGAGGGCGGAGCTGGGGGGAGCTTTGCTTTTGGTGGGGGGTCCCCAGGAAAGAAGGCTGCCGGGGGGGGGGGTGGAGGTGCATTTCTGGGCGTTCGGCAAACGGGGTTCCCAAGAACGGGGGCTACTGCCTGGCAATAAAAAGAGAACCACCTCTCCCCCCAGAAACCACAAATGGCTACCTAGAGAGGTATTTACATCTTCTCTGCAGGTTAAAAAGAGGAAGGGGAGCCCGGAGGGAGGCCTGGAGGGTGGCGTGGGGGGGGCCGCAGCAGGCTTTCCGGATTCTGGAAGGTGTGCACGACCCCCCGCAGAGGGACGGCCGTGTGAGCGGTGGGAGCTGCCTTCCTGGGGGTTCCGAGGAAGAAAGCAGGGCTCCTCGTTCCTCCGGGGGACAAGAGCCCACGGTGCAGGTGATGGGAGGAGGGGGGTGGGGGGATCTGCGCTTCTGAGAGTCCGGCAGCCTCACCCCCCTAGTCTCAGGGGGCCCGGCCTCGCCTTTGAGAAGTCAGGCCTCCTCGCCGGAGTGACGGGGTGTGGGCTGCGAGTTGGAGGCCGGGGCGGGGCGGGCTCGAGCTGGACGGGGCGGGGTCAGCTGTCGGCTGGCGTGGACGCGGCAGGAGGGGGAGGAGGCTTTCCCGAGGTCTCCGCGGGGGTGCGGGTCCCACCCCGAGCCGGGGGGCGGCGGTGTGGTCCTGGGCCCTCCGCGGGGGTTTGACGCGGCGGAGAGAGCGTTCTGGGCGCGGCCTCCTCCGCGGCCTCAGCTCACCAGGTAGCTGTGCATCTCCCGGGAGCTGACGCTCAGGACCACGCCCGAGTGATTCCCTGGAGGAGAGACTCGGTGTGAGCGCGCGGCCGGCCCAGCGGCGCGCGGGCGCGGTGCGTGCGGCCTCCGCCGACGTGCGAGGCATCCCGAGCTTCCTCCCGCCATCGTCGTGCGGGTCGTGCCTGGACGCGGGTGCAGAGGCGGTGGGGTGGGCGGGTGACTGAGGGCGCGTCTCCCGGTGCCGGCACAAGCAGTGGACCCAGGGGGCCTCGGGGTGAGGCCGCGCCCGCCACCCGCCCCCACCGCACCCACTGACCTGCAGGGGGGCCGGCCCCGGCATCGGCAGCAGGGGGAGGTAGGCGGGGCTCTGTACCCCCCGGGCAGGGGGCACTGCAGGGCGGCCCGGCGAGGCCCCGGGCGGCGGCGGGAGAGAGAAGGGCACAGGGACCGTCAGAAATGCAGGGGTCCGCCAGGGTCCCAGGTGGGGCCGCGTTCTGAGACCCCTGGGGAGCAGAGGCGTGGCCGCTGGCTGCCTGGAGCCTCCACCTCCCGGGCGCATCGAGACGGAGCGGCGGAGAGGTTCCAGCCGGCCGTGGGGACCACGGGGTCGTGAGCTGGCCCGGGGCTTTGGGTCCAAGGTCAGCCACCTGTGCACTGGGCCGCCTGGGTGGGCGACGTCACCTCTTTGAACCTCACTTCTAGCCGTTTAAAAGGTGGGGACCGCGACTCCGCCTCCCACAGTCCCAGGGACACGGCAGATACGGGTTGAGGGGATAAAAGGGCAGAGATGACACTGCCCCCCCCCCCACCCAGGTGGCAGCTTGCCGGCGCGTCCTCGGGCTCCACTGGGGATGTCACAGCACCCCAGGGCCGGGCGTGCAGGGCAGGTGGGGTGCAGAGTGACTGTTAAGGGTCGTGGGAGCAGGGGCCCCAGGGTCTGGACTCCAGCCCCTTCCCCACCAGCTGTGTGGCCCTGGCCCCGGGCCAGTCCAGGTCTCAGCTCTGAAAAGGAACACCCCTGCTGGGAAGCCATGCCTTCTGGAGCACTCAGTGCTCATGTGGCCTGGAGCACTCAGCGCTCATGTAGCCAGGAGCACTCAGCATTCGTGTGGCCTGGAGCACTCAGCGCTCACGCTGCCTGGAGCACTCAGCACTCATGTGGCCTGGAGCACTCTGTGCTCACGGCCGGGTGGGCAGCTCCAGTGCTCTGGCGGGACTCAGGGCTTCCGGGCCTCAGCCTCCCCACGGGTTGAGGAGGGAGTGGAGACAGGGCCTGCTGTCCCATCAGAGTGTGTGTACCCCCCAAAGATGGACAGATCGTGGTCACCTCAACCACAGAGTCAGAACCAAGGGCCAGCAGTGATGGCCAGGAGAGGTGGAGCAGCTGCCAGGCTGTCCCTTCCCTGGTCTCTGCCGTGCAGAGGCCGTGGGGGGCTCAGTGTGGACACTGCAGCGGGCTGAGCCGGCTGCGGCGTTATCACCAGCAGAAGCTTCGAGGTGGTGGGGCTCAGCCCGCAAACACCAGCTCATGAGAGGCCCCGAGAGAGAACTGGAGGTCAACACAGACCCCCACCCCCAGAAGAGGCCGCTGAGTGGGCGGCTGCTCCATCTTCCCTGCTGGCCATGGGCGGGGGGCAATGGGGTCATGGAACAGAGATGCTGTGCAAACTGTAAAGGGCTGTGCACACGTTACGTCCATGTGCGCACGGCCCAGCGCCTCGTCCTCACAGTGACGGGAGGGATGCCGGGAGCGCGGAAGGGGTGACTGCTGAGAGGCCCCTGGGACCCCCCAGAACACAGCAGCTTCGCTGTGGAAGCCAGCTGTCTGCCCTACCCCTCGGGGGACTGTGGGGACGGGCGTCCAGGGTCCCGGTCCACAGGCAGCCCTGGGAGACTCCTGCCATCACCCGTCAGAAGGAGGGAACCCAGGGTAGGGCCCGCCCAGCCCCAGGCCTGGTGGTGGAGGAGGGGTTCCCGGGGGACGGGGTGTTGGGGGCGGGCATTACCTAGAGTCTGTGGGTGGAGCTCGTCCTCTATGAACTCCTCACCCTGGATGGCACTCTGCACGCCTTGGCTGTGGCTCACGGGGCTCGTCATTTCCTGCTCCTTCTCGTTGTGCATCTGGGCATACACGGTCCTGCCGGGGCGTTTCCTGCAAGGCAGCAGGCAGTGGGGGGGAGAGATCAGGGCTCTGCCTGGGATGCCTGTCCCTGGAGGCCCCCAGCCCACCCCTCTGTGCGGTGCTTTCATTGCTCCTGGGTCTGCCTCCTGCGCCACCTCTGCACCAAGCCACCTCCTCAAGGAAGCCCTCCTGCACCACCTCTGGGCCAAGCCACCTCCTCCAGGAAGCCCTCCTGTACCACCTCTGGGCCAAGCCACCTCCTCCAGGAAGCCTTCCATCCTGTGAGCTCCCACAGCCCTGGGTTTGCCTCTGCCCTGGCAAGCACTGTCCGTCTGTCTTCCCCGAGGCGTGCTGCAGGGAGAGCGTGCTTCTTTGTCTCTTTCAGGTCCCTGTCACCCATCACCTCCGGGTTCTGATCATGTCAGCAGGTGTGTGTTTCCACAAGGCATGCGATGCTGACAGGCTCTGAGAGGTGTTTGCTGAGCCCTGCCCAGGTCCTGGGGCATCCTCTAGTGCCTGTGCCCTCCAGGGCAGAGGGAAAGGAGATGGAGGGCACAGCCCCCCTCTGTCTCAGCTGGGACCGGGCTCAGGGCTCTGGGCCATGCTCCTTCATGTGCGACGCCCACTTGGTTGGAGCAAAACTCCAGAGGGCACATGGTTCCACTTTACAGATGAGGAAACTGAGGCTAAGTGGGAGGGTAGGCTTCCTTGGAGCCACCATCAGCAGTTCGCCGACACGGGCAGTTCTCTGGAAATACTGAGATGGCGGGATGCACATTCAGGCCCCCGGGGTGGGCTGGGTCATGACGGGCCCCAGGGGACTAGAGCACTCGGTGGCTGAGAGCCTCTGAGACCTAGGAGCTGCTTGTTACGCAGGCAGGCCCAGCCCAGGCTGACGGCTGCACCAGCCCGGAAACCCCAGCTCTCCACAAAGCTAAAGCCTCCGGACAAATGGGGCATTTCTCTCCATATTCTCTGATGGCCAGTCTTCTAGCTGGGCACACTCACTCCCAGAACTGTGTTCCGCCCACGGTTTCCATGGTAACCGCCCTCCCAAGATTAATTCACTAGGTGAGCCCAGCGGTCACACCTGCCTGCCTCTTCTTCTCCCCTTTTCCCCACCTCCCTCCTCATTAGGCCCCTTTTACAGATGAGGAAACTGAGGCCCACAGGGAGGGGAAGAGAGTGGCTGGAGCCGCAGAGCTGGTCAGCAGCAGGCTGGATGGCAAGCTGGTCTGGGAGGCTGACCCAGCCCTGCTGCCGTCTGGGCTGTCCTGCAGGTTGGGAAGGGGAGTTGTCCAGTGTGAGTGGTCCTGGAGGACAGAGACCCAGCAGAGTCCCAGGCTGCAGGAGGGACCCTCGGCCTCCAAGGAGCAGGAGCCGGAGGCTCAGGGTGTCTCCAGACTGTTCCCAATGGTGACCCTGAGCAGGGAGACCCCGAGGCCACTGGAGCCGAACCAGCAGGATGGGGTGAGACGCGGGGCTCGGATCTCACAGCTGCATTTGCAGAGCATAAGCCTGGCGACACTCTTTGGCCTTTGTGTCCATCCCCGGGCCCTGTATCCGGGTCAGATCAGATTCTCCAGCTCCTCCAAGTGTGCCCATGAATAATCCTGGCACTGCTGGCTTATTAAACCCATTTTACAGATGAGGATCAAGGTCAGAGGGGAGGAGGCACCATAGCCCCTCTGATGACCACACGCTGAGCTTGCCACCCACCCAGCCTCATCCCGAGCCCCTGCCTGCTCCACCCTGGGTGTCACTACCCCACCCTGACTCCTCCCCAAATGAAGCTGGAGCCCCCCTCACCAGGGGGCGTCTGACACAGGGCAGCTCTGGCTCAAGCTTGTGGAGGGAGGGGTGGGTGAGCACTGGGGGGAACGTGGGTGGTGGAGGGCACGGCCTGGGGTCAGATCCTCACTCCTCAGCTGTGTGGCCCTGGGACAGTCACTTAACCTCTCTGAGCCTGGGTTTCCTAATCTGTAAAATGGGTGCGTGGAGCAGAGGGGAGGGTCGGGTGGAAGGCACTCCCTGGCTTGTGAGTGGCCAGCTGCCCTCAGGGACTGAGATAACTCAGGACCAGCGTGCGGGTCCAGGCAAGGCCCCCTCCCTGTCCCGCGGCCCATTGAGGGCACAGTCCCAGCCCTCTGTGGCCCTTGGGCCCCACCCACATGCCCGGGGAGCCCAGGGAGGCCAGGCCTTGCCTTTTGAACTTGTACAGGATGAAGGCCCCGACCGCGAAGAGCCCGCTGACGAAGAGGATTGCCACCGCCCAGTAGCCGCCTCCGCCTCCCAGGCTCGGGGAATCTGTGGGCAAAACAGTCTGTGAGCACTCAGAGTGGGCAGCGGCCACCCCCGGAACCTGGGACCCCACTGTGTAAATCCCGGCCCTGGTCCTTCCCCCTGAAAAAGTGGACACAGCTCCGTCCAGACCGATGCTGGCATGGACACGTGTCTTCATGGAGCAGAAAGCCGCCCTTCGGCTCCTGCCAAGATTCTTGCCCCAGAGCGGGGAGGACGGTCCATGGTGGGCGTGGGGGCAGAGTGCATCTGAGACCCTAGATGTGCACTCAGTCGCGTCTGACTCTGTGACCCCATGGAGCCCACCAGGCTCCTCTGTCCAAAGGATTCTCCAGGCAAGAATACTGGAGTGGGTTGCCATGCCCTGCTCCAGGTGACCTTCCTGACTCAGGGATCGAACCCAGGTCTCTTATGCCTCCTGCTCTGGCAGGCGGGTTCATTACCACTGGCACCGCCTGGGAAGCCCAATCTGAGACCCTAAATGACGTAAATTAAAGCAAGAGCTCCGTGTGTGTCCACGGGGAAGGGCAGCAAGGCTGACCAGGATTTACCTGACGACCACCGGGCCAGGAGGGACATATGGTCAGCAGAGGGGCCCCTCTGCCCCCAGTGTACACAGTAGCCAGCGTCGTCTGAGGGGCCTGGACGCCCGCCCATCCCACCTTGCAGAGGCGAGCCCGGCCAGGGCCCTCACCAGTGTCCACGTCCCTCATGGCCACCACGACCCGGACCCCGCCACGCAGGAGGAAGCTGATCTTCTGTGCATTCAGCACCTGCTGGATGGCCGTGAGCCTCTGAAAGCACAGAGCAAGGAAGACGGAGGGAGTCTTCAGGGTCCCAGCAGGGGGAGTGGGAGAGCTGGGCAGACGTCCGCCCTGACCCTCTGGGGTCAGGGGGCTGGGGGAGGGCCCCTGCGCCTCTCCGGGCCTCAGTCACCCCTTCTGTAAAATGGGACTGCTAGCCACCAACCAACTCTCACCAAGAACCTCTGATGGGACACAAGTGATCCAAGTGTGGCCCTGCGCTCAGAGAGCTCTGGTTTTAGCTGGCACCATGGAGTGTGGTAATCTAGGGATGTCCAGGAGAGCCCCGACCCCAGAAGTAATCAGGGGAAGCTTCTCGGAGGTGGAAGACCAAGAAGAGGACAAGACAGGGACAGGGCAGGTGACCCAGGCAGGCGAGCATCCCTGCCCTGAGGCAGAGAGCTCCCAGGGGTGGTACTGCAGGATCGTGGGGTGGAGGAGGGCTAGTGGGCCTCTGGGGCACCCTATTGGTTTGGGAATTCACAAGCGGGGAGTTTCTGGGGTTCAGAAGGGAGTCAGCCAGCCCACACGGGTGTCAGGGGTCACCCGTCTGCACAGGTGGTGCAGAGGTGCTGGGGAAGGAGGCCCCCAGGGATGGGGGTCCCGTGGCTCCGCTCCCGGGGCCTCTGGAGGAGGGGCATTCCCTGGGGACTCTGGCTGAGCCTCCCTGGGTGGCGTTTTGGCATCTGGGACTCAGTTTCTGTTCACAGAATGAGGGTGCTGGGCTGGCCTGTCGCTTACACAGTTCCCCACCTGGAGGATATGGGAGGCACCTGCTTCTGCCCCTTGAACTGAGAACAGAAAGGTGCAACACAGGAATGGCTGCCAGGGGCTGCAGGGGGGCAGGGGGTGACTGCTGGTGGGAGCCGGGTTTCCTCTGGGACGATGAAAAGACTCCTTTGGGAGGACTTAAATGGCAGTAGTGGCCGCATGGCTGTGAATATACTAAAAACCACTGACTGGTACACTTTACAAAAGTAAACGTTATCTCAAAACAAAAGAAGAATCAGAACCACAGCCGAGCTCTTGACTAGTCGTGGACACTGATGCCCACGCAGACGTTCTGGAGAGAGTGGCCAGCGCTGAGGCGGGGCTGCAGCACAGTCCGCAGGACCCCTGTGGGTGGGTGGTGGCGCCCGTTTTACAGACGAGGTTGGTCATCACTTTCCTTCCAAGGAGCAAGCGTCTTTTAGTTTCATGGCTGCAGTCACCATCCGCAGTGATTTTGGAGGCCCCCCCCCACCAATAAAATCTGCTGATGTTTCCACTGTTTCCCCATTTATTTCCCATGAGGTGATGGGACCAGATGCCATAATCTTAGTTTTCTGAATGTTGAGCTTTAAGCCAACTTTTTCACTCTCCTCTTTCACTTTCATCAAGATGCTTTTTAGTTCCTCTTCACTTTCTGCCATATGGGTGGTGTCATCTGCATATCTGAGTTTATTGATATTTCTCCTGGTAATTTTGATTCTAGCTTGTGCTTCATTCAGCCCAGAGTTTCTCATGATGTACTCTGCATATAAGTTAAATAAGCAGGGTGATGATATACAGCCTTGACGTACTCCTTTCCCGATTTGGAACCAGTCTGTTGTTCCATGTCCAGTTCTAACTGTTGCTTCCTGACCTGCATACAGGTTTCTCAAGAGGGAATGGGGGGAGTACCTCGCGGTTTATGTTGAGCACTCACGACAGTGGGGGGCGTACCCCCCACCTCCTCTCCTTCCAACCCTCCCTCTGCAGTGCCCCCAGTGGGTGCAGCCTCCAAGCCTGGTGCTGGCAGCCGGGACCCCTGCGGCCTTCCCCAACCTTCACCCAGCCTCTACTCTCAGAGCCTCATCTGAGAAACGGGTCAATGATTTTCAACTGGCCGCTGACTAACCTCCAGAGACACCCATCATCAGCGCTGAAGCTGGGCTGGGAGCCCCGGGTTCAGCCGTGGCTGCCCTCGGGCTGGGCTGCGGGTCGGGCCGGCACCGTCTCGGGTCCACCTGGAGGCCGCCCAGGCGTGCCTTGAGCGTGGCTCCGCAGCCAGAGTGCGGGTGGGGCACGGAGCCCGCGCTGTGCTTCCTGGCGGGGGTCTCACTGAGCCTCGCTTCCCTCGTCTGTAAAACGGGCGCCACCACCCACCCACAGGGGTCCTGCGGACTGTGCTGCAGCCCCGCCTCAGCGCTGGCCACTCTCTCCAGAACGTCTGCGTGGGCATCGGTGTCCACGACTAGTCAATAGCTCGGCTGTGGTTCTGATTCTTCTTTTGTTTTGAGATAACGTTTACTTTTGTAAAGTGTACCAGTCAGTGGTTTTTAGTATATTCACAGCCATGCGATCGCTATTACCATTTAACTTCTCCCAAAGAAACCTTTTCATCCTCCCAAAGGAAACCCCGCCCCCACCAGCAGTCACCTCCCTCACCCCCCCAGACCCTGGCAACCACTCCTGTGTTGTCTCTCTGGATTGGCCGATTTGGACATTTCATATAAATGGAATCGTCCAATCAGTGGCTTTTTGTGACCATCTTCTTTCACTTTGCAGCATGCTTCCAAGATTCACCCACGTTGCAGCCTGGACCAGAATGTCACTCCTGTTCATGGCTGAGTAATATTCTGCTGTGTGTATGAACCACCTTCTCCTCACCCAGTCATCTGCGGGTGGACATTTGGGTTGTCTCCACTTTAGGGTTATGAAAACCCATTCATGTGGGTAGACACACATCTTCAGTTCTCTTTGGTTCATCCCCGGGGTTGAAGCTGCCGTGTTATATGGTAACTTTGTGCTTGAAGATCTGCCAGACAGTTTGTATGGCGGCTGCAGCATTTTCCGTTCCATCTCAGCAGTGAACAAGGGGGCAAGTTTCTCCACGTCCTCGTCCACACTCATCACTGTCCACTTGTTGTGGAATTGCAGCTGCCCTGGAAGGCGTGAAGGGCTTCCCGCTCACCTTTCAGTCCCAATCCTAGCTGGATGTCCTGAAACCAGGTCCCAGCGTCCCCTGGATGGTGCTCACCCCTCGAGTGAGGCTGGGGTGGTGCGGCCAGGTCCAGCCAAAGAAACGGGAGTGAAATTGGCGCGTGCCCCTTGGGGGGCTGGTGCAGCCAGGTGCCCCCCACTCCTCTACCACCGTGACCCTGGGGTAGCCACAAGGGGGAGGAGGGACAGTGATCGGTGAGAGATAGGCCTTTCCATGATGAAGAGTGACTAAGGTCCCCGTGCTTGTTGAGTATCACCATCAGACCGTACGCTGTGCGGTGGGGACCGGACCTCCGGCCCCCGGCCCCCGACCCCCGACCCAGCAGCTGTGGGAGGTACCTTGTCACTGGTGAGGCTCCTCTTCCTTGTGGGCCTGGGAGGGGGCAGGAGCACGTGCAGGTCGGCCAAGGTGGGCAGCCCTGGCTTTACCACCGTTAGCATCAGCTCCTCGGGGATGCTGGTCTCCTGCGGGGACACAGAGAGCCACTCTGATGCACCCGCGTGCCTCCTCTGTCCCCTGCTGTGCTCCAGGGCCACCGGGATGACACCCGCTCCCTTCGTGACCTGTCCGAGTCTTGGCCGTTCTAGATCCTGACCCGGCACGGCATGGCCCCTGCATCCTTTGGCTCCATTGTCCACCTCCCGCATCGCTACCCTTCTGGTGCCTTGGCCTTCTGCCCCCACCACGGCCTCTGCTTCCCAGGGCTGCCCCCCTTCAGCTCAATTCTCCCACCGCCGCCAGGTGAGCAGGCCCCTCCCTCGCTTACTGTCCTCCTAGGTGTCAGGGCTCCTGACCACGCAGCTTCCTCAACCCACAAAACTCTGCTTCCTGGAAGTCCCACTCCACGCACATTCATCTAGCAAACTCCTATTCACCCTTCAGCGCCCAGGACAATACTACCCAAATTCTTTTTTTTTTTTTTTTTTTACCCAAATTCTTAACAGGCCAAAGGGAGGCATGGCTGTGGTGAGCGTCAGCCTGGGACAACTGTGGATGACTCTAGGGGGCTGGGCTTTCTCCCCTGGGGAGTCAGGGGCCTCGAGTGCCCTGTGCCCACCCTGCCTTTGCCTTCCATGAGCTCCCTGATGGTAGCCATCGCAGAGACTTGTCTGTCTCCCGTATCCAGCAGTGAGTAAATGAGAATCACTTTAAAGAGATTCTGGACCGGCGGAGGAGGGTAGATGCGTCTCGCGCAAACAGCTGGTGCTCACTAGATGTGCATGGAGCATGCAGCCTGCCCCTCTCCCATAAGACGACGCTCCGACCCCGTGTTCCCCGGGGCCAGGTGAAAGGACCTTAAGTGGCTTCCCAGCACCGTTGTCGGCGGACCCAGAGGACAGACAATTAGGACACAGGGCAGCCTGCCCACTCCCACCCCACCCCCTGCCCTGAGGACTCCAGCCCCCGCCCCCCACTTCCCCGGGGGCACCCACAGCCCATAAGGGGGGCGGCTCTGCCACGGCTGAGCCAGGCACCTTGGAGAGCAGCCGGGACACCGCGAGGCCGACGTCTTCCCTCCACTCGGGGGTGTTGGGGTTGTGAGCGTCCAGGTCCCTGGAGAACCGCAGAGGCACCACTTCAGACTGGCCTGGAAAGAGGGGAGATGGGGGAGCGTCGCCCGCCCTGGCCCCTTCGCAGCCGGTGGCGACGCCTCCCGGATGGCCCACGGCGGGTCCTGGGGGTGGCTCCTGCAGCCCACCTGAAGAAGCAAGGCTTCCCCCTCCACCCCGTCCGTGCGCCAGCAGCTGTCCCGGCGGGGCCCACTACACTGCTGCCATTTAATAATAATAATGACAGAGGCGACAACAATGAGGACCACGGAGCTGACCTGGGAAGGAGAGCCAAACCTGCTCTGTGACTTCCCCATCAACCCTCGAGGACAGACAAGCTTGGTCTGTCTCCCAGGGACCCATGGAGTTTGACCGGGCTGTCCCCGCACCAGAATAAGAGTCCCTGGAGAGCAGAGTCCACCCCCTCCCCCGCCTTCTCGTTCTCTCAAATTCCCCAGGGTCCCTGACTCAGACACCTCTTCTAAACCAACAAGCAGCCCGTGGTGAAAAAAAAAAACCCAGCCCTGGGAGCCTCAGAGTGAACCGCCCTCTCTCCATTTAGCTCCCGAGCCTTGGGTTCTTCGTTTGTAAAGTGGGAGGGGGCTCTGCCAGGGTGAGCATTCAAAGGGACAAGTGCCTCGTGAATATGCAGCGTGGGTGGAGGTGAGTGTTGCAAGGTTCTAGGCTCGGGGTGTGGTGCTCACGGGCTCGGGAGTGAGCAATGGCCAAGGGCTGTCCCCTGAATACTTAAGTGATGGCTGCTGTCCATGGCAGATGCTGTTCTTAGAGCAAAATGAGGTTTTTATTGGGCGGATAAAGAGGGGAACGTGGCTCTGGGTGGTGGGATGCTTCCATTCTGAGGACTAATTTTTGGTTGTGACTGTCTCTTGGGGCCAAGGCTCAGACCACCCTCCCGGGGCGGGGGAACAGATAAATGGGACACAGATTCAGAGCAGGACTCCCAACAAAGTCCAGATCCCATGTCCTCTTTCAGGCATAATCACGTGAGAGTCCTCAGATGCCAGGATGCTGAGGACAGGTGCCTGGGGGGGGGGGGGAGGGGAGGGAGATCCGGTGGCCAATCCCAGCCCTGCCCCCCGATGCGTGACTCGCCAAGCCCCTCAGTTGCATCCTCACTTGTGTTATGTGGGGCCCGTGAGTGCCCTGTGCATGGGAGGCATCAGTGTTTATTTTACAGATGGGAAAACCGAGGCCAGGGAGTCTGGAGGTGTTGGAGCCGTGCTGGGCCATCCCTCCATCCAGCCGGAGCCGCCCCGGGGTGACCGGCGCCTCGGTGGGTACCCCCCCACCGGCCTGACCCTGAGCTCCTGGGAAGGAGAAGCCGTGCTGCCTGCCGCGGTGGGGGAGAGGGCGCTCACCCAGCACGCGGACCACCTTGGAGTCCTGCAGCACGGAGGTCCCGCAGGCGGCCTGCACCGTTACCCGCACGTCCCCCGGCTCCCCAAACCGCGTCGTCACAGAGTTCTCCAGGGACAGGCGGGGCTGCGGGCACAAGCAGGGGTCAGGACCAGGCCGGAGAGCTGGCCCCACGGGAGCCCTGCTGAGAGCACCTGGGGGGCGTGGGCAGGTACCCCCCACTCAAGAGACGCCTGGACCCGAGAGCTCCGCAGCTCAGACACGAGTCTCCCAGGGCCCCCTGCCCTCCAGAGGTGCCGAGACGCCCTGTGCCGAAGGCCCAGAGTGGCTGCTAGGCTGGGCGTCCCTGTCACCTTCCTGACCCACCCCAAGCTCAGCTGGGCTGTAGCACCTTCATGCTTGGCCCCAGGGCCCGGCTCAGCACCCACCCCATGCGGTGGGGCGCCCACATCGATCATGGGGTCTGCACTATGACCTCAGGCCTTGCAGATGGGGAGAGGGAGACAGAGGCTCCGGGAGGCACAGCGACTCTCCAAGAGCTCAGCTAGAAGTGGCTGACTTGCCGCTCGAACCCAGAGCTTGAGCACCATCCTCACCCATCCCCATGCCCCGGAACCACAGTCCTGAGCCTGAGCCCCTCCCAGGCTGGGCCCTCAGCTGCTGTCTGCTGAATGAGTGAAGGATCCCTTTTGGATCTTGGGGCCCCTTACCCCAGGCTAAGGGGGGCAGCCTCGTCCACAAAGGACCTCAGGACCTCCCATCAGGCATCTGTCCTCGGCTCCCCACGGCTCGCAGGACACAACCCATGACCCTGGGTGATGCTTCTCAGGTCGGTCTTAGCCCAGGGACCCCCTCCTCCATGAAGCCCTCCCTGATAACCTCCACGCTCAAACTAGAAATGACCTGATCTGTGCTGGAGCTCCCAGACACATCACCTGTCCGCCTCCTGTGACACTAGTCACACTCTAACTCAGGTCACCTACTCTGTTCACACATCTTCCCCAGGAAAAAGCGTGGTCTCGTCTGATCCGATTCATCACGTGTCCACCATGCTCAGACACAGCTGTACCCCGCACAGATGGTCAGGGTGGAGGGAGGGTTGGGGTGCGTCCGCCTCGCCTCCACGGTGTCACATGCTCCGTCCTGCCCAGTACGGAGGGTGGGATCTGCCCCACACCACCGCAGACGGGAGCCTCCGGGGGCCCGGGGCCTGCATACCTGCAGGCTGTGGCCGATCCACCAGTAGAAGATGGTGAGGTTGGGGTTCAGGGGCAGCAGCACGGCTGTGAGGTTCACCTCCTGGCTGACGCCGATGACAGGGACCACTTCCAGGTAGAGGGCCTGCAGGGGGGCTGCAGGGCCCACACAAAGGTTAGGGGTCAGAGGGCATCAGGGCCCTGGCCATGCAACAGGTTGCTATTGGTCACTGTCACCATCAGCCTCATCACCACCACCACCACCACCAACACCTCTACCACCATCATCACCTCCATCACCATCAGCCCCACTAGAAACACTACCACTATTATCGCCACCATCACCATCATCACCACCATCATCACCATTATTACCATTACCACCACCACCATCGTCACCATCACAATCATCACTGTCACCACCATCACCACCATCATCAGCTCTATCATCACCATTATCACCATCAAATCACAGTCAATACCATGACCATCAATACCATTGCCACCATTCCCATCACCATCATCACCACCATCATCATCATCAGCTCCATCATCTCCATCATCGCCACCACCATATCATCACCATCACCACCATCACCATCATCACTATCACCACCATCACCACCAAATCATGGTCAATACCATGACCATCAATACCATCCCCACCATCATCACCACCATTATTACCATCACCATCACCACTACCATCACCATCACCACCATGACCATCAACACCATCCCCACCATTCCCATCATCACCATCACCACCATCACCACAATCGTCACCACCATCATCAGCTCCATCATCTCCATCATCGCCACCACCATATCATCACCATCACCACCATCACCATCATCACTATCACCACGATCACCACCAAGTCACAGTCAATACCATGACCATCAATACCATCCCCACCATCACCACCACCACTGTTACCATCACCATCACCACTACCATCACCATGACCATCAACACCATGACCATCAATACCATCCCCACCATTCCCATCATCACCATCACCACCATCACCACAATCGTCACCACCATTATCACCATCACCATCACCACTACCATCATCATCACCGCCATCACCATAACCACCATCACCATCAATCAACACCATGACCATCATCAATACCATCCCCACCATCATCACCATCACCATCATCATCAGCTCTATAATCACCACCATGATCACCACCATCATCACTATCACCACCATCATCACCATCACCATCATCACCATCATCACCTCTATCATCAGCTCCATCATCACCACCATTATCATCTTCACCTCATCACCACCACCACCATCATCATCTCTATCATGACCATCATCACCACCACCATCATCACCACCAACCCCACCGTTGCACAGACCACTGACGGTGTGGACTCAAGCCAGTCTGCATGCCTCTCTGCATGGGTTCCCTGTGCTTCCCCAAGGACCAGGTCTCTATGTCACGGGTAGTCACCCTTGGCCTCGAAGGGGTGATGGACTTACAGTTGACTTGGACAAACAGCACTGCCTCGTCATGCCCCGCCATGTTCTCTGCCCTGACGGACACGCGGTAGACACCGGGGCTCTCGTAGCGGTGTCGGATGGGCTCCCCAGTCAATGTGAGGTTCACGTACATGGCCTTGAAGCCGTCCCCCAGGTCCACCTGGTACTTGGTGGTCAGGACATCACCCTGTAAGACACACCAGGGGACCACTTAGGACCTGGCCACAGAGCTGGGGGCCAGCGATGGGCCATTCACCAGCTCACTCACCTATTCGTTCACCCACTCATTCATTCATTCCCTCACTCCTTTCTTTCCTCAAAGCAAGCTCTCTGGGGACTCCAGGGAACCAGGTCTGTTCTATCCTTGCCCCCCCACCGCGCCCCAGCCTGGAGGGCAGGGCTGAGACCAAAAGGAGAGGATGGAAGTAGTAACCAGTTTGCATTTCAGAAAGATGACCCAATGGCTGGGAGGAGAGGAGTCAGCACAGATGAGCTCAGGGAGGCCTGCACCAGGGACCAGGAGGGCAGCAAGAGGCCTCACACCCGCTGGATAGTTTAAGTAACAGGGGGATGTGCATGCATGAAAACTCTTAGTCTCCTAGGAAATTAAAACATTGTTTTCCCCTCTGATGCTGCGATTCCTGCATTTTCTTTATCTTCTCACTCTACGTGGTGCGGGAGTGATGCTCGGGTGCATGGGCTCTATGCAGGGAGGGGGGTCCCACGACTGTCACCCGTTTTCAGCATCTCCTCACCCACACGAGCCGTCTAATCGTCTGTATAATCCCCACCACGAATATCGTCCTTCCAATAACCGTGTTTTCCTCATGGAGTCTTGGGAAAGGAAATTGAGGAAGCAAACAGGAACTTCTTCAACTTCGTGGCAAGAACGAGTTCTTCAATTACTGCATGTCCTCTCTCCCCATCATCTCCCTATCATATCTTCCTGCCAACCCTCTGCCTGCTGGGGGAACACCCAGGAAACCATGTCCTAGAGGTCAGGAATGAAACATGACCATCATTAACCGTTTAGCAATCCTCTTGGTTTACACCTGCCAAACCTTAGAACTTGACAGAGTACTTTTATATAAATTATGTTCATTCACCTTTCTTCACAAATACAGTGTAAAAGGTGGGATCATGCCCAGTCCCTCCCCGATCCATACCCACTCGGAACTTCAGAACGTGACCTTATTTGGAAACAGGGTCTTTGCAGATGTAATTAGTTAACTTGAGGTCACACTGAATTAGAACAGGATCTCTAAGTTCAATGGCTGGGTCTTTAGCAGAAAGAGGAGGGGCTCTGAGACACAGAAAGGAAGCCAGGTGAAGACAGAGGCTGGACCAGGGATGCCCGGAGCCCCCAGAAGCTGAGAGACAAGGGAGGACCCTCCTTCCAGAGGGAGCACAGCCCTGCTGACACTTTGATTTTGGACTTCCAGCCTCCAGAACTCTTGAGAGGAAAAATCTCTGTTATTTCAAGGCACCCAGTTTGTGGCCACTGTCGTGATGGCCTCGGGGATCTTACACAAGTATGTTCTATGATCCCCGTTTTACAGATTGAAGGACTAAGGCTCTGTGAGTCCAGAACCCGCAGGCTGGCTTGTGGTCAGGGCTCTCTCTGTTTAAAGGCAGCCTCGTAGATGGGACTGGTCTCAAGGTCAACTTGCTCTGGGAGGGAGGGGTCTCCGTGCAGCTTCCTGGGGGAAGAAGGGGTTTCTGTCTGAGTCGGGACATGTGGCTTTGATGGGCAGGAGCCACACCACCTGGGGATGCTGTGTCCTGCCTGTGAGCAGCTAAGAGTGTGTGCCTTTAACTCCTGAAACACCTCCCTTGGTTAAAACACTTCATCACAAGGATTTCCTTGGCGGTCCAGTGGTTAGGACTCTGGACCTCCACCACAGGGACCATAGGCTCGATCCCTGGTTGGGGAACTAAGATCCCATGTGCCATGTATGGGCAAAAAATAAACAAATAAAATTAAAAAACCCCCACCTTGAGCCTGAGCATCTCAATGAGAGAGCAGCCCCTGCTTGCCTCAACTAAAAAAAGCCCTTACAGCAACGAAGACCTAGCACAGCCAAAATAAATAAAATTATATTAAAAAAAATAATAAAAACCTTGTCATAATCAGGAAGGTAATAGTGGCAATGTAAGAAAATACAAAAAGGCAGAGAAGCAGCTAGAAAGGAAAAATGGTAGCATCACCACAACACCCACCACCCACAGCGAAGTGTTTCCATGCAGATTTGCATGTGTGTGTGTGCTTATTCCTGAGTGCTTCAAAAACACTGGGAAGCCTCATGCTGAGCCAACTGCCAATTCACGTGTAATTGTCAAGGATATAACACAGAGAGACCCATGTTCGTGGTACCCATTTCTCCCCGTGCAAACATCTTGCAGAACACATCACAGCTTGGAATCCACAGTGACTCAGCCACGATTCAGTCACCCCTGGGGTCCCTACGGCTACCCTTTCACACCCAGACGTGCCTCTCCATCACATCCCTGACTTCATGGGATTAGAAGCTTTAACTTGTTCTCCATTGCTATAATTTCATTATTTGGGCAATATCCTCTAAATGGAATCGCTGGGATTAGCTTTCTCACTCAGTATAATTCTCTGCAGAGTCACCCAAGCTGTGATGTAGAGCCTGTTCCTTCTTATTTCAGAGTACCACCCGTGGGATGGACGTACCAGCTCACCGTGGGTTTATCCACTCGCCGTCGAGGACATCTGGCTGTCTCTGGGTCCTGGCTCTTATGAATAAAGCTGCTGTGAACCTTGAGGTACACAGGTTTTCCCATGAACCTCCTTGTTTCTCTCGGATAAAGGCCCAGGAGTATAACTGCCTGTGGTTGCTGTATGCTTAGTTTTTAAGGAAATTACCAACTTTTCCAGAGCGGCTGTACTATTTCACATCCGCGTCAGCCATGTAGGAGGGACCCAGTTTCTCTGCGTCCTCACCAGGGTTTAGTGGGACCACTGTCTTTCATGCTGGCCATTCCCGTAGGTGTGTAGGGATGCCTCTTTATGTTGCATTTCTCTGATGGCTAATGATGCTGAACGTGGTTCCCTGTGCTATTCGCCATTCACTTCAACAATATGTTTCTCCATGGTTTCTGCTCATCTTCTAATTGGCTTGCTTGTCTTCTTATGGTTGGGTTCTGAGTAATCTTTATATATTCTGGGTACTAGTCCTTGTTGAATATGATCTGTAATTATTTTCTCTGTGGCAGTCTTTTCACCTTCTTCGGCTCTGTCCCAGATCAAACATGTCACATTCTGATGAAGGCCAGTTTATCACATTTCTTTCATGGGTGGTGCGTAGGGTGTCAATGCTAAGAACTCTCTGTCTAGCCCTACAGTGCTGGTATTGTCCCCTGTCTTTTTTCTACATGCTTCACAGGTTTCCATTTAAGGCTGTGATCCACTTTGAGTCGACTGCATCAGGAATGAGGTTTGTTTTCACCGGCTCCTCCTTTGTTGATGCCCATCCTTCCTCTGCTGAAATGCTTTGGGGCCTCGGCAAGAATCATCCGGACCTGTCCGTGCAGGTCTGTTTCTGGGTCCCCCATCAGATCTTGTTTTCAGTTCTGAGATCTTCACAGAACTTGGATTCCCCTAAATCCAGGGATGTTTCCACACCTGGATTGGGTGCGTGTGTCTGTGCGAATGCGAGTGCGTGGTCATGGGTGAACATGTGTAAGTGTCCGTGTGTGTGTGTGTGTGTGTGTGTGTGTGTGTGTGAGAACAGGCATGTACACCAGTGCGTGTACCCACTCCAACCTTGTACCCACTCCTTCCCAAGGCTCCGACATGGGAGCCAGTGGCCTCTTTCGGACAGTGGAGGGCAAAGGATTCTCTTCCAAGAGCAGCTGTCTGCCGTCCCCTCACCCCCGCCCTCCAGGAGAGGCGCCCAGCCTGCTGGGATGGTGGGCTGCCAGGCGTGTCCTGTCCTGGGTCTGGATGGAGCGCCCCGGCTGTGACCAGCTGCTGGGATTCCGGTCTCTAGAGGGCAGCAGGTGGCCATGTTTCCTGCAAGTCAGTCCTGGAGCTCCGGGCGGCAGCTGGGTCCCCTTCGAGGGTGTTGGTAGCCCCAGGCTGGGCAGGGGGCTGCACGCCCCCTGCAGTGAACAGAGCCTCCCCCCTGCCCCCGCACACACACACACCACCCCAGGGTTGCCCGAGGCTGGAACGTGACTCTCAGGGCCAGGCTCAGTCATCACGGGGCCAGCAGGTTGATGCACCCTCGGCTCAGGTCTGGGGGCTGCAAACCAGGAGGTGTCCACACGGAGCCCCCAGGCCTGGACCCAACGCCAGCTCTGCGCGGCCCCAGGTGGGTGCTTCCCCTGTCTGAGCCTCAGCATCCCCAGCTATAAAGCCAGCTGGCGAGAGCACAGCCCGTGGGCGGGGGAGGACGGAGGGTAACATGCCCACGGGGCGCCCGCACATCCAGTTCTTCATACAGGACCAGAGCCCCCGCTTTCCAACATCAGAGGCCGCATCGGCGTTCCCCAGTCCCCCTAGGCAGGCATGGAAGGACGTCTTCTACATGAAGCCCCACTCGCTTCCCCCAACGCGTTTGTTAACTGAAGCCTCCGATGCCCAAGAGCCGTGAGCCGGGGGAGGCTGGGGCCCCGGGTGGGAAAAGGGGGTTCTGCACCCCCTTTGTGCTTTCCTGTCATTATGAATTTCCTGTCTGCTTGTGAGTTTTTTTAGCTTCTATTTTTGAATTTTCTACCATGAACGTTTGTTACATCTATAATCAGAAAAATAAGCACACTGCATATTAGTTTAAATAGACTAGAAGGGAATAAATTAACAGTGATCACCTTGAGAGAATAAGATTTTGGGTGACATTTATATCCTTATGTTTTTAATGTGTTTCCCCAGTGTTCTACAATGAGTATATACTGTTCTTAAAATCAGAAAAAAAGTAACACTTGTGCTAAAAAGAGAAAGAAATACTAGGAGACAGGGAGGAATTTATATGTTTATATGTGTGTGTGTGTTAGTCACTAAGTCATGTCCAACTCTTTGCAATCCATGGATTGTAGCCCACCAGGCTCATCTGTCCATGGGATTCTCCAGGCAAGAATGCTGGTGTGGGTTGTCATTCCTTTTTCCAGGGGATCTTCCTGTCCCAGGAATCGAACCCAGGTCTGCCATACTGCAAGCAGATTCTTTACCATCGGAGCCACATGGGAAATCCCATATGTGTGTGTGTGTGTGTATGTGTGTGTGTGTGTGTGTGTATACGTATACACATATATGAAATATTTCTATATCCATCCATCTATATTTGTATCTATGTCATCCATTAACTATCAATGATTTTTTCATGAATCTACATCTATTTATCATTTTTATCTATCTAGCTATGCATCACTGTGAACAAAGCTAGTGGAGGTGATAGAATTCCAGCTGAGCTATTTCACATCCTAAAAGATGATGCTGTGAAAGTGCTGCACTCAATATGCCAGCAAATTTGGAAAACTCAGCAGTGGCCACAGCACTGAAAAGGGTCAGTTTTCACTCCAATCCCAAACAAAGGCAATGCCAAAGAATGTTCAAACTACTGCACAATTGCATTCATCTCACATGCTAGCAAAGTAATGCTCAAAATTCTCCAAGCTAGGCTTCAATAGTACATGAATGGAGAACTTCCAGATGTTCAAGCTGGATTTAGAAAAGGCAGGGAAACCAGAGATCAAATTGCCAACATCAGTTGGATCATATAAAAAGCAAGAGAATTCCAGAAAAACATCTACTTCTGCTTCATTGACTATGCTAAAGCCTTGACTGTGTGGATCACAACAAACTGTGGAAAATTCTTAGAGATGGGAATACCAGACCACCTGAACTGTCTCCTGAGAAATCTGTAAGAGGGACAAGAAGCAACAGTTAGAACTGGATATGGAACAACAGACTGGTTCCAATTTGGGAAACGAGTACATCAAGGCTGTATATTGTCACCCTGCTTATTTAACGCATACGCAGAGTATGTCATGCGAAATGCTGGGCTGGATGAAGCACAAGCTGGAATCAAGATTTCTGGGAGAAATCTCAATAAACTCAGATATGCAGATGACACCACCCTTATGGCAGAAAGTGAAGAGGAACTAAAGAGTCTCTTGATGAAAGTGAAAGAGGAGAGTGAAAAAGCTGGCTTAAAACTCAACATTCAACAAATGAAGATCATGGCATCCAGTCCCATCACTTCATGGTAAATAGATGCGGAAACAATGGAAACAGTGAGACTTTATTTTGGGGGGCTCCAAAATCACTGCAGATGGTGACTGCAGCCATGAAATTAAAAGATGCTTGCTCCTTGGAAGGGAAGCGATGATCAACCTAGACAGCATATTAAAAAGCAGAGATACTACTTTGCCGGCAAAGGTTCGTCTAGTCAAAGCTATGGCTTTCCAATAGTCATGTATGGATGCGAGAGTTGGACCATACAGAAACCTGAAGAATTGATGCTTTTGAACTGTGGTGTTGGGGAGGACTCTTGAGAGTCCCTTGCACTGCAAGAAGATCCAACCAGTCCATCCTAAAGGAAATCAGTCCTGAATTCATTGGAAGGACTGATGCTGATGCTGAAGCTCCAATACTTTGGCCACCTGATTCTAAGAACTGACCCTGATGCTGGGAAAGATTGAAGGCAGGAGGAGAAAGGGATGACAGAGGATGAGATGGTTGGATGGCATCACCGACTCGATGGACATGAGTTTGAGCAAGCTCCAGGAGTTGGTGATGAACAAGGAAGCCTGGCGTGCTGTAGTGATGGGGTCGCAAAGAGTCGGACATGACTGAATGACTAAACTGAACTGATTTATCTATCTATCGTCTATTACAGAATTTGTGTTGGCTATCAGATTATAAAGTAATATTTTTTTTTTAAACTGCCTGTTTTTCTTAAGATTCCAAATTAGCTAGATCAGTATAACGAGAGGTTTAAAACATTCTATTGCCGCCCACGGGAATGACATCACCATGAGGTAAACACTCAGGCAGATGTGTTTGAAGCCGTCTCTCCCTGGACCTGAGCTGGCGGCTCGCTGCGCCATCGCCCCCTGCCCTCCACTCTCTCCTGAGTTTTCCATTTCATTGCTTTAATGCTGGTTTGGACCTGGGCAGGGGTCTCCAGGGCACTGTTACCTCCCGCAGTTTGGAAAACGCTGGTTCAGATGACTCCGCACCCCAGGACTCCGAGGGGGAGAGGACACCGCCCACCGCCCGGTGCGCCCGGCCGAAGCGGCCCCTCACCTGCTCCTGCCGCACCACGAACAGGACGTCCTCGCCGGGCCGCACGGCCACCGCCTCGCCGCGGATGCTGACCTGCAGGCCCCGGGGCGGCAGGAGCGGGCACTGCAGCCGCACCGGGCTCTGCCGCGGGTCCACGCCGCCCTCGCACACGTTGGACACCAGCTTCCGGTACCTGCGGCCAGAAGGCGGGTCAGGGGCTGGCGCGGGGCGGGGCCTGCCGCCCGGCCCGAAGGCTTTGCTCGCCGTGCGGGGCCTCCTGGCTTGTGACCCCCACGCGTCAAGCCCCCTCCCTCTTCCTGACTCGTCTGTTTGCTCTTTCTGCCCATTTTGGAGCTGGGGAAACTGAGGCTCAGAGAAGGGAATGAGCACTAATGGCAGGACCCGCGTCCCTCACTGGTCTGAGCGTGTTCTCACAATGATGGTGAGAGGTGTTGTTGCTAGGGAGACGACTGAAGAAGCCAGAATGGACACTGCGACTTTGCTGGGAAACGTGGTCCCAGGAAGCCAGAGTGCCCCGGAGGGGCTGGCACTTCCCGCTGACTCGCCATGTGGCCGTGGGCAATCACAGCCCCACGGGAGGCCTTCTCCTCTTACACCGAGGGACTGGGGCCAGATGACACCCGATTCACCAGCTCATTCACGCAACGTGAATTGCCTGAGCATCTGCTATGCGCCAGGTGCGGGGGTCGAGGTCATCCCTCGCAGCCCCTGCCTTTTCGGGGAGGACTGTCCAGTGGGAAGGCCGCCCTCACCAAACCACCCCACACATCAAGGCAACATCATGACCCTGAGAGTGTGGGGAAGGGGCTGCACCTGGGGGTCTGGTCCCCAAGAAAGGGGCTTTCAGCTGAGAGCAGGAGGTGAGCAGGAGAGTGAAGTGTGTCTTGGGCAGTGGAAACAGTGTGTGCAAAGGCCCTGTGGTGGTGGGGGGCAGGTGTGAGATGAGGGTGGGGAGAGGCTGGCAGGGAGAGCCTAATGTGCTCTAGTAAACTGTTAGGGCTTCCCTAGTGGCTCAATGGTAAAGAATCCACCTGCCAAAATGCAGGAGACATGGGTTCAATCCCTGGGTCAGGAAGATCCCCTGGAGGAGGAAATGGCAACCCACTCCTGTATTCTTGCCTGGAGAATCCCATGGACAGAGGAGCCTGGCAGGCTCTAGTCCATGGTGTTGCAAAAAGTCAGACACGACTCAGCAACTAAACAATAACAACAAACTTTTAGGAGACGTTAGGAAGACCCTGCTAGGGTGGCATCAGCTGAATTGTTATCATGCAAAGATGCATGTGGTTAGTTGGGAAGAAGATACCCTCCCTAAGAGGGTACCCAGCCACAGCCCCTTGGCATCCAGAGTGTGCAGATGGTGTGAAATGAAACCCTTTGCCCTTGATATGGGTCCTGACTCCGACATTTCAGACAAGAGTCCCTGCTTGCTAAGCCCTGGAGCAGCTGCTGTGGCTCCTTGATGGAGGGAGGGATGGATGATGGATGGATGATGGATAAATTATTGGAGGGATGGGAGGATGAACGGATGGTGGGTGAGTGAGTGGAAGAATAAAGAGATGGATGGTTGGATGGACAGATGGATGATGGATGGATGGGTGGACAGATGGGTAGATGGATGAATGGATGAAGGATGGATGGGGAATACACAGATGATTGGATGATTGGATGGATAGAGGAATGATGGATGGATGGATGGATGGATGGATGGGTGATGGATGGATGGGGAATACACAAATAGATGACTGATCATTGGATAGATAGATGGATGATGGATGGATGGGTGGATGGATGGATGATGGATGGATGGGTGGATGGATGGATGGATGGATGAATGGATGGATGGATGATGGATGGATGGAGAATACACAGATAGATGATTGGATGGATGGATGGATGGATAGGTGGATGATGGACAGATGCGTGGCTGGATGAATGGATGATGGATCGATGAAGAATACATGGATAGATGATTGGATGATTAGCTGGATGGATGATAGAATTTATGCCACTGAGGTCCAAGCCTGCAATCTCTGGCCCTACTTTTTGCTTCTTCAGGCTCTGTCCTGCCCCATCCCCAGAGGCATCAACCTGGCTTGTCTAATAAGTCCATAGGCAGTTCACTCCCTCTCAGAACTTCCCCGCAGGGACACAGAGACCTTTAGATGAGGCTTGCATAGGGCCTGTGGAGCCGCGGGCTCCCGGCTGTTACACACAGAACGCTGTTATAGTTTGATCCCTGAGATGCAGCGCATTCAGCCTCTGTGGGAGGGAGGAGGTCACACCTGCGGAGCACTTCCCTCCCCCTCACACACAGTATGTGTCCATCACACCACACACTGAGGGACACGCCATGTGTCAGAAAGCTTAGTCCAGTCCAGGGGACAGCTGGGTTAGTGTGACAATAACTGGGGATGTTCCATTCCCACAGAGTAAGCTCAGGGCCCAGGGTGAGTCAGGGAAGGCTTCCTGCAGGAGGTGCCATTCAAACTGAGACCTAAAGGGAATGTGAATATCTCTGGCCCAGCTCAGGCCTGGCTCTCTCAGGGTTGGTAAATGGGGAGGGGCTTTGGCACTGCAGGGACTCAGAGGGGCCAGGGAGGCGGGTTCCTTCGGTGCCACGGCGAGGGACCTTCTCTGCCTGTTGCTCTCTGTTCAGAGCCGGCTCAAGGCATCTCTTCTCCCTGACGCTGACCCACCTGGGCTCCGAATGGAGAGCCCTGGGTGGGGGGCAGAGTCTGGGTGACTTGCAGGAGCCCCAGCGCAAAAGGCAGTCAGCCCTGATTTCTCTCTCCCGGGCTCCACGCGAGCAGCTGTGGGCACCAGGCAACAGCAGGGGTCACCATGGTTCTGCCCCGTGCGACTCACCCGAGACTGCTGGTGTAGGTCTGGCCCAGGACACAGTCGTCAGGGGGTGACAGAGGGTTAAACCAGAAGTTGGCAAAGCACTTGTTGGCATCGGACTCCGAGGAGGGGGCGCGCTCAAATCCATAGTCACTGGGAGGAGGAAGACACGGCGGTCAGGAGACAGGCAGTGGCAGGGATGCGAGCCAGCCCAGGGTAGGTGCCCCACACCAAGGACACACAGAGGCAGATCCACAGGCCCCGTCCCAGAGGGGAGAAGGACTGAACGCCGATGGTTACATTCTGGGTGAGAAGGGTTGCAAAGGGGATTCTGGGAAATTACAGCAGAGTGCTGAATCCAGCCTGGGCATCCTGGAGGGCTGCCTGGAGGAGGTAGGCTGACTCTCAATGGAAGATCAAGACATAACCAGGGGAAGGGGGGAAGGGCACTGCAGGTGGGGACCAGCCCCTTCAGCAGGTGGAGATGGCAGAACAGGAAGGGCGAGGATGGCTGGGGAGGGAGCCAGCTTCCAGAACTCAGACATTCTCCTGTGGGTGATGGGCCAGCACAGGAGTTTTTGAGCGGGGTGGGGGTGGGGCGGGTGGCCAGGGGGCTTCCAGGCGGGTCTCTGGACGGTGGAGGAGGGGCTGGCTGGTCCCCAGGGTGCCCTCCGTCTTCCTCCGTGTCCCCGCCCACCTGGGAGCAGGGCACCCCGTGCTGGCTTGGGAAGGATGCCCATGGATTCTTGAACGTGGGCCGAACCGGGTAGCTGGGTGCTCGGGCCCAGGATAAGGGGGCCGTGCTGGAGCATGGCTCTCAGGTCGTCCGCGGGGGTGGCGGCTGCAGGGTCCGTCGGGCAGCACTGCCCCCTCCCCAGGGCTGGGGCCGAGCGGGACCCTCACCAGAGGAAGTCTGAGGCCCGGCAGGGGCACACGCGTGCTGTGAGCGCCGCCGTGAAGCTGCGGCCTGTGACGCACCAGGACGCGGGCTTCCTCCTGCGGAAGCTTCTCTGCTGGCCCATGACACAGCGGTCACCCTGTGGGGGAACATGGGGTGAGGGGCCGCCCCGCTGCGTCCCCCACTGCCAGTCTGGCCAGTTCCTCATCCCCCCGGTCTGGGCGGTCTTCAGGGCAGGAAACCGGGGCTCGGGGGAGAGCTGTGTGTGTACCTGAAACCGCCCTGGGGCAGCCCGGCCCCTGTCCATCCCCACCCCCCACCCCAGCACTCGCTGGGTGCTATGTGCCTGGCCTTGCTGGGCCCTGAGGGGGTCTCAGGCCCCGGAAGAGAGGCCCCACACAATCCTCAGGCCCGAGGGTTTCAGGTGGGCCCTGTGAGGCTGGGACGAACCACGGCCTCCAGGCCTCAGGGAACACACAGTAGGTGCTCAGCCAACAATCCAAACAGGACATACCGGTGTGAACAGGCACCCTGGCAGGTACAGCTGAGGGCCCACCCTGCCCCCTGGAAATTCTGGGCTCTTCCACTCTCAAATCCTGACCACCCAACCCGAACTGCAGCGGAAGACCATTTCTGGTCCTCACGTACGCCCCTCCATGTGAATAGTCTTCATTTTGCTGTAGGAACAGTTTTGTGTGTCTGAGATTATGGCGTGGGGGCTGCCCCAGACCACTGATGTTACCTAATGACCAATCTAGACAGCATATTAAAAAGCAGAAACATTATTTTGTCAACAAAGGTCTGTCTTGTCAAGGCTATGGTTTTTCCAGTCACGTATGGATGTGAGAGCTGGACTATAAAAAAGCTGAGCGCCAAAGAATATGATGCTTTTGAACTGTGGTGTTGGAGAAGACTCTTGAGAGTCCCTTGGACTGCAAGAAGATCCAACCAGTCCATCCTAAAGGAGATCAGTCCTGGGTGTTCATTGAAAGGACTGATGTTGAAGCTGAAACTCCAATACTTTGGCCACCGGATGCGAAGAGCTGACTCCTTTGAAAAGACCCTGATGCTGGGAAAGATTGAAGGCAGGGGGAGAAGGGGACGACAGAGGATGAGATGGCTAGATGGCATCACTGACTCAATGGACATGGGTTTGGGTAGGCTCTGGGAGTTGGTGATGGACAGGGAGGCCAGGCATACTGCAGTCCATGGGGTTGCAGAGAGTCGGACACGACTGAGCGACTGACCTGCACTGAATGTATGATACCCGCGTCCTGTTACCTTCCCTCGGCCCCACAAATCCGGGAGCCTGAGCACAGCTGGCTTTGGGCTGGGGCACGCCACTGTGCCCCTGGGGGTGCCCACAGACCCTGGCCCAGGTCGCCCGGAAGGGCCAGCAAGCCCGGCAGGAGGACCCACATCCGGGGAGGCCGGCAGCCTGGCAGGATGGAGGTTCTGCGGGCAGAGGGGGTGCCCTACGCGGGGCCCGGCCCACCTGCGGGTTGGCGAGGTCCCAGGAGCTGTAGTCATCCTCACCGCACCGCCTGGAGAACCAGGGCCGGAAGTCCACCTTGACCAGCTCCCAGTCCGAGCGGAAGCTGATGTGGCCGAAGACACTGGGGAGGGAAGGAGGGGGCAGGAAACCGCCTTAGTCTGGCCCGCCCCCCAGGCGCCCACCGGTCCCCTCCGGGCCTCCGCCCACACCTGCCCGATCGGTCCAGCGGTCTCTCTCCTGCCCCCGCTGGGCAGCCCCAAGACGGATCCTGTGCAGGGCTGCAGGCCTTTGGGCATCAGCATCAAGCGTTCCCACCACCACTGCCTGTTATCTACGGCTCGCGGATGGTGCTGCTGTGGGTCATCCCGGGTGGCCCCCCACGGGCAAGGACATGGGTGCAGTGGGGTCAGGAGCCTGGCCCGCCCTCAGTGGCCAGGCTGGTCCGGGCAGAACTGTTTCACAGGATGACTCATGGTCAAGCTGTCTGTGTTCTGTGCTAGCTGGCTTCTCCCCGCCTGCGCCCCCGCCTCTGCTGGCCTGTCCATACTGGGGGTTGGGGTGGCCCGTGCCGTAGAAACCCAGCTCCCCCTGCATAGCTGGGCCACAGAATTCCCCCAAGCAGACTGGATAACCCAAGGAGAGGCAGGGAGTCATCCCCCGGCTCAGAGCGGGCTGGGAGAGCTGTGTTTGTATGCTGCTTGGTCTAAATCCGCACCACAGCCCACTTCACAGAAAGGAACACTGAGGCAGAGAGAGGGTGAGTAACTTGCTTCAGGTCACACAGCATGTTTGTGCCACTTCTTTGCCCACGGCTATCATGTGTTGAGTGCCTATCATACGATGCCCAGATCCCTCGCTCTCCAAGAAGGCTGCTGCTTAACGGGTTGCCACCTGATCCTCCCAGCACCTCACACTTGGGCTCCAGGAGCCCAGCCTGCACTTCTCTGGTCCTTCCCCAGTTCTCCCTGTAGGACCCTGGCCATATTACCAGAGGTTGAGCGCCTGGATGGAGGAGGTGATATACTCACTCCAGCCTTGGTCCCCATTCCAAGCTGACAGATAGGAGCTGGATACTTGGGGAAATCAATCGTGGTCTAAAGGGCACAAACCCCAGTCTAGGAGAGTAGTTGAGAAGGGCCTTGGAGTGTTTTCTCAGGGATATGACGGCTGGCTATGCATGCCTGAGGCTGACACCGGAAGAGGGGTTCTGGCTCCAAAGGACACCTCGGGGCCAGACAAGCCTGGGTGACGCCTGTTTACTTGTCTGTGACCTTCAGCATGTCTGCTCCTCTCTGTACCTCCTTTTCCTTTAAAATGGGGACAACGACACTGGCCTTTTGGGATCCATGGTGGATTAGCGATGGTTTGTGTAGGACATTTGTGGGACACTGTAGAAGGTGTACAGACACACATGCACACGCACACTCACTGTTACACATACACCCCCCGACACACGCACACACATTACCTCCATTGCCCCGAACAGTCCCCAGAGGCAGACACTGCAATCTTTACTTCACAGACGAGACCCTGCGCCTCGACAGGGGCCTCTTCTGGTCCTTGCAGCCTCCCTCTGCCTTGGCCTGGCTCCCCCCGCTGTGGTCCACCTCCCCATCCTTGGCTCTGAGAGGCCCGATCGCTCTCCACTGGCTCCTGCCCTCCTTGCCTGCCTGCCCACGGGTAGCCCTGGTGTCTGGAGACACCCTGCCGTCCTCCTTCCAGCCCAGCCTCTCACCCAATCATGTTCAGCTGCCATAAACCACCCTGCTTTTCTGCTGCCCGAGGCGTGAGCCAGAACCCCCCTCACCCCAGTCTGGACCCCTCCTGCTGCAGGCGGACGTGGCCCAGCAAGGCCCACACGGCCCGCTTCTCCTCCGCCTGGTCCAGCAGCCCTCAGAGGGGCTCCCGACAGAGAGGTCGTGGGGGGCCCGGATGGGGGTGGTGACGGTGGTTGTGAAGGTGTCCTGCTGGCCCGCTGTCCCGACTCCCGTCCTGATGGGGACAGTCCCCTCCCTGGGAGTCTCACCACATGGGGACTGTCTTTGCCACGGCGACCCCTTCTCCCAGGCAAAGCCAGCTGGGTTGTCACTCAAATGGGGCATGAGGGTCTTAGCTCACCGAAGGGACGTCCTTAAAGGACATCTTCACACCAGTATTCCAGCCTGGGGAACTCCGTGGACTGCACAGTCCACGGGGCCGCAAAGAGCCGGACAGGACTGCGTGACTTTCACTCACTCACTCACGCCAGGTCCTCACAGCCTGAGCCTGTCTCCGCTCTTCTGGAAGCCGTGTTACGACGGAGGTGACCGCAGCGGTAACTGCTGGTGAGTACCCTGCCCCTGCCAGGCTCCCGCCTCCCACATCCACTCCTCCTCACCACCCCAGGGGGCATGCTGTGAATAGTCCCACCTTACTGACAAGGAGACTGAGGCCAGGGGCCCCTCAGGATGGCACGGCTGTGGCCCAGCTCCTGGGGAGTGGGATCGGTCTACTGGCTGGTGACTTTGGGGCTCCGATGCCCGGCCCAGGAAACACATGCTGGCCTGAGCTTGACCACCATGCAAACTCCTGGGCGGGCTGCACAGGCCCCACCAGGGAAGTCTCTGAAAAGAGGCTGGTTCACTTGATCTAACTAATCCCCCCTGTGTCTCTGAAGTCCTGCCTTTTATGAAGCCTAAACGTTCAGCTGATACTTTGAGAAATAGCTGGCATCTGGCTAACTCCGAGTTTTAGGAAGTCAGTGCCTTTAATGTGTGTGTGTGAAAGTGAAAGCATTAATCGCTCAGTGTCCGAGAGTAGGTACCCATTCCCTTCTCCAGGGGCTCTTTCTGATCCAGATATCAGACTGGGGTCTCCCACATCACAGGCAGATTCTTTACCATTGGAACCACCTTCTGAAAGTCGGAAAGTGAAAGTCACTCAGTCGTGTCCGACTCTCTGTGACCCCGTGGACTATACAGTCCGTGGAATTCTCCAGGCCAGAATACTGGAGTGGGTAGCCTTTCCCTTCTCCAGGAGATCTTCCCAACCCAGGGATAGAACCTGGGTCGCCCGCATTGCAGGTGGATTCTTTCCCAGCTGAGCCACCAGGGAAACCCAAGAATAATGAAGTGGGGAGCCCAGCCCTTCTCCAGCGGATCTTCCTAATCCATCACCTTCACCATCATTACCACCATCATCACCATCACCATCATCATCATCTTCACCACCAACAGTATCACAATCTCAAGGGCCAAGTGGGCAGTGATCCAGGGCTGACCCTTGACTCTGAGTCCCACCCCTCACCAGCCGGGTGATGCTGGGCAGATGACAGATGTCCTTGGTTAGGGACGAGTGGCCGCCTTCCAGTGGCAGAGGATGGTGAGAGACAGGGAGGCAGGTGTGAAGATGGAGGTGAGAGTGAGGAGGATGGGGAGGGAGGCGGGGGGTCAGTGTTGAACCCGCCTAGAGCGGCAGGGCCTGAGGTGGCCCTCCGCCACAGCCCGCCTGGGGTTCGGCTCTGACCTGCCTGCCCACCTCCCGTGGGCACTCACGTCATGACCAGCGTCTCGTCGCCGGGCTCGCTCAGCAGCCCATCCACAAACACGGAAGTGCTGGTGAAGTTGTGCGTGCTCCAGGTGAGGCCCTCGTCCACGCTGAACCTGCCGAGAGAAGGGGCGGCTGGGGACACAGTCTGCCTCCAGGCCAGCTGCCTTGTCAGACCCAGACCAGCCCGCGCCCAGGGGCCAGAGCTGTCCAGCTGAGGCGGCTGGGCGAGCAGGCGGGGCAGTGGCCAGCCCAGTATCCCCACCACAACTGGACCCCATCCTCACACTCTCGTAGGCGGTCACGGCAGCCCCCTGCCAGCGCCAGGTGGCATCCACGTCTGCTCAGGGACACCACAGTCGAGGAGCCCTGGGGATGTGGCCTGAGACCCCCTGGACTGCAGTTATCCAGGTCTTAGAAACATCCAGGTCAGCCCTGCCCAGTGCCCAAGCCCAGCCCAGGGTCTGCCAGGTCACGCGTGGGAGCTCACTGCCTCCCAGTGTGGCGTAGCAGTGTTGCCAGCTTGCCTTGCGTAAAGATCTTTTTCAGACTAAAGTGATACTGGCATCCTGACAGCTCCCCCGGCTCTGCCTTCCAAGTCCAGAGTTCACACTTGACCTCACATCCCCACAACAGCCCTTCATACATCTGAAGCTGATGCCAAACCCACTCTCACCTGGGCACACGCAGCTGGCTTCCCTGTCCTTCACCTATCTAATTCAGGTCCATCCAGAAAAGTCACCTCCTCTGGGAAGCCTCCCTGCTCTCCCAGGATGGCGTGGGGAGTGCTGGTAGGGGCATCCTCACAGCCCCAGGCCTCCCTCTGGCCCACCCGATCATACTGGGTCGTCATTCCCCACCCCCTTGTCTCCCCAGCCCTGGCAAGGAGCAGCTATCAGCAGCATCGGTGTGGGTGGTGAGGGGGCCGGGTGGTGGTGGGTGCTGGGGAGTGGGGTGCGGGTGGTGGGAGGTGGGAGTGGGTGGTGGGTGGTGGGAGGCGGGGTGGGGGTGGTGGGTGGGGAGTGGACACTGTGCAGAGCCTGGCATTAACCCCCTTGGCCGAGTCTGGTGCCTTCGTCCTAGGGTCCTGAGAGGGGGCCATCCTGGGGAATGCTCCGAGGAGTTCCCTAGTGGAGAGGACCGGCCCCTGCCGCACTCCCCGCCGGGAGCCCGGGGTCTTACTTGAGGATCTTCAGGGGGATGGAGGTGTCCTTGATGGCCACGATCACGCCGCCGTGGTCCAGGTAGAGGATGTGGTGCTCCTCCTCGAATACCTGTGGGAGACCACGGGCGGGGCTCTGAGGGCAGGACCCAGGGAGGGCTGGGAGGGCTCTCAGGCGCGGGGGTCGCTCTCCTGGGGACAGAACTGCCCACACGCTGGCTGGGGGGCTGCAGCAGAGTCCAGCTCTCTGACGCAGGGCTGGTCAGAGGGCTCCTGGTGTCCCCAGGCCATCCCCTCCCTCCCCCAACCACCCAGACTCAGTACAAGTGGGATGAACGGCATGAATGCACGCTGATGGCAATCTCTAGACCACTGACCAGAGAGAAAAAATGCAAATAAACCTTGCAGGTGGCCCTGCCTATAGGAAAAACTCAGGCAGCAAAAAGGGCAGCAATGTGAGATCAGAAAGAAATCGTAGAATTCAGGAAAGCATTTAGGATAAGCATCCACTAGGAAAAGCAAACCTCTCTTCAACATTGATTCAGTTCATGTGCCACCTCCTTCAGGAAGCCCTCCCAGACGCCACACTGGGTGGGTGTGGGGCGTCTCTGGGCCCCCTGTCCCAGGACTTAACTGCATGAATTTGTCATTGTTTTCTCCAGCCAGGGAGCTCCTCAAAGGCCCAGTCTGCCTCTGAGTCCTCTCTGTGGCCCAGTACCAGCTCAGCTCATGGCTGGAGGTGCCAGGGCTCAGGAAGTGTGTGTGGGATAAATGAATGGGTGAGTGAATGAATGAATCCCCACCAAGTCCTTAGTGGACAAAAGGTTGAGAAACCTGGACAGGGCTCTCACAGGAGGAAATACCTCTGGTGGTCAGCTGGGCATAGCCCCAAACGTGCTCACAACCCTCACATGTGGTCAGACGCCCCATCTCGACACCCTCCTCCCACAAGGACAAGCAGGGGCATTTGCCCTGTCTGCCCACTGGGGAGACGGTGCCTCCCAGTCTCCCCATGGGTGCCCCACAGGCGAGTCCACCCTCATTAGCTGGGGCCTTGGAAATCAGGCGGCTCCAACCCCCATGCAGCCATGAAATTAAAAGATGCTTGCTCCTTGGAAGGAAAGCTATGACCAATCTAGTGAAGTGAAATCGCTCAGTCGTGTCCGACTCTTTGCGACCCCATGGACTGCAGCCTACCAGGCTCCTCCGTCTGTGGGATTCTCCAGGCAAGAATACTGGAGTGGGTTGCCATCTCCTCCTCCAAGAGATTCTCCCAACCCAGGGATTGAACCCGGGTCTCCCGCACTGCAGGCAGACGCTTTACCATCTGGGCCACCGGGGAAGCTCAAGCAAAAACATCTCTTTGCCAACAAAGGTCCATCCAGTCAAGGCTATGGTTTTTCCAGTGGTCATGTATGGATGTGAGAGTTGGACTATAAAAAAAGCTGAGCGCCGAAGAATTGATGCTTTTGAACTGTGGTATTGGGGAAGACTCTTGAGAGTCCCTTCCAACCAGTCCATCCTAAAGGAAATCAGTCCTGAGTGTTCATTGGAAGGACTGATGCTGAAGCTGAAGTTCCAACACTTTGGCCACCTGATGCGAAGAGCTGACTCATTGGAAAAGACCCTGATGCTGGGAAAGATTGAGGGCAGGAGGAGAGGGGGTCGACAGAGGATGAGATGGTTGGATGGCATCACCGACTCAATGGATGAGTTTGAGCAAATTCCGGGAGATGGTGATGGACATTGAAGCCTGGGTGCTGCAGTCCATGGGGGTCTCAAAGAATCAGACACGACTTAGCAACTGAACAACAAAACAGCACCCACAGGGAACCCCAGGGTCTTTGCACATCCACTGCTCTGGTCTTCTGCACCTTGACTAGTCAGCGGTCCCCCAACCCCATTCCCTGCCTTTCCCACTTCCCTGACACCCTGAGCTCTGGAGGGTGCTCCTTAAATGTTTTCTGTATCACTCCAGTTAAGTCCTGTTTTTAAAATATGCCCGTTTAACAGCATGCTGCTGCTGCTAAGTCGTTTCAGTCGTGTCTGACTCTGTGCGACCCCATAGATGGCAGCCCACCAGGCTCCCCCGTCCCTGGGATTCTCCAGGCAAGAACACTGGAGTGGGTTGCCATTTCCTTCTCCAATGCATGAAAGTGAAAAGTAAAAGTGAAGTCGCTCAGTCGTGTCCGACTCTTAGCGACCCCATGGACTGCAGCCCACCAGGCTCCTCCATCCATGGGATTTTCCAGGGAAGAGCACTGGAGTGGGCTGCCATCGCCTTCTCCACTTTAACAGTGTACACGCTGTCATTTGTAATTTACATTCCCAGAGTTTTGCAGTAGAGATCTCTCATGGCATCCTTGACAAGCCAGCCTGAGCTCTCCAGGTCTTCCTGCCTTTGTCCCACCCTGACCTCTGCCTCCTGCTTGCCCCCCACCCCAGTAAACCCCCACCTCTGACACAGCGGCACCCCCCACTCTATCAGGCACCCGGGCACTCCTGCACCCTTCCGTACCCTCCTCCCATCACCAGAGCTCAGCCCTGAACTGACTTTCTCCCACTTAATTCTGACAAGTTCCCAAATTCGAAGCCTAAGCAAACGGCTTGCCAACAGTGGCCACTCTGAATACCTTACGGTCAGTTTCTACAAAATACATCTCTCTGTTTCACCAGGTCTATTAAATCTAATAAGCTGGGGCCGAGGGTGGGGGTGGTTTCTGTAATAAATGGACAGGCGGTGACCTTTAAGAGAGTTTAGACATATCTCACTAGTTTTAGTGAAACAAAAATATTACAACACAATAAATCTCTTTTGCCCTTTTCAAAATTCCTGGTTTCTTGCATATTATTAAAAAAAAAAAAAAGCCAGGATTTTAAACCAGGGTGCAGGTGAGCTCTGCACTTTGAGGATTAATGTCTTTGTCCAGAGCAGTAGCTGGGAGGGGTCTGTTGAGTGGGGGGCTCAGAGGTGCAAAAGTCGACCTGAAAATACAGCTTCTTCCATCCTCAGGAAGGGGAGACACAGACAAAAATTTAGTGCATTTTCTTAAGCGTTTAAGGTAGAAATTGCCACTCCATGAAGTTGGCAGACCACATGAGGCTGTTTTTTTTTTTTTCCTGGAAAGAAAGAAACAGCAAGTGCAGAGGGGGTCCGAGCCTCTCTCTCCCAGGGCGGAGCGCTTGCATTTCACTGGACTACCCAGGTGCTGGGCCATCAGCCACCCTGCTCCATGGGACGCCCTTCGGATGGCAGCCCCCACCCCTCCAGTCTGAGAATCTGAGTCGCATGTTGGGGTAGCGCTGACGGTAGCCCTTGCAGTGTGACGCCCGCAGCCAGTGGGCCATTTCCTGCATAACTGCTGTCTCCTGCTTCGTGTCATCTTCCTGTTTCCCTTTCCTCAGGCTGCACTGAACATCAGATCATCACCCCGTGGGTGTGCCTGAGGCACCCCTCACCACACTCACCGTGCCCCCCCAAACCTGCTCCTCCCCATTTCTCCTTTCTCTCCCAAGTCTCTGCCATCCACCCAGCAGCTGTCCCTGCAGGACCCCAGGCCTGCTCTGCGGCCCCCACATCCTGCGCTCGGGGAGTCTGCATGTGGCTTCCTGCAGGGACAGCGCCTCCACCCCATCCCTGGCGGTTATTCTGTTTGGGTTGACGTTCAGGGTAATCTGACTGCAGGGAGACGTGTCAGACCACGAATCCTCCAGCAGTGGCTGCTGCAAGAATAGCAGGAGGTGGGGGCCAGCCGGGCCTGGGCCCTCTTTTCCCTGATGGCGACATAACTCCTAAAGGGAGCGGTGTCCGGACGCTCAGGCCGGGGCAGACACAGCAGCATGTCTCAGAGCTCCTCTGGGAAGGACGGGGCGAGACCAGACCCGTCTCTGGGGGTCCCGGCGCAGTGAGCCCCACCCTGCCACTTTACCTGCCGCCAGGTGTGGCCGCAGTCCGACGTGATGTACATTTCCTCTTTATATTCCACCAGCTGGGAGCCCAGGTTACCTGGTCCGGAAGAGAAGAGATGGAGCTGCTCTTAGGACTGGCATGCTCCCCCTGACCGAGGTCTGAGCACAGCCAGGGCCCCGAACCAGGGCTGGTGGTGGATGGGCCCTGGGTCTACGCCACCAAAGCCACCAAGGGATGCGCCTTACGCCCTCCGGGTACCGACAGGCCTGCTGTCACCACACGGGCCCTCGTCTGCACGGTCAAGGGTTAGCTTTGCCCAAAGAAAGCTGGCCTCAGGCAGCTCCGGCTGGGCCCAGGTGCAGGCAGAGCGTGGGGGCCTCAGGAGACACACGGGTGAGGAGCGGGGTTGGGAACAAGAAGCGTGGCTGGGGACCATGCAGGCCAGGCTAGCGGCATGTGGACCCGGCAGCCCGTGGTGGGCTTTAAAGTGGGGCAGGACACGGCTGGCTTTGCGTTTGGAGGTAGACCCCTGGGGGATGGGTAGAGAGGAGGCCAGAGGCAGCTCTGGGGCAGCGTGGGGCCGTCCAGGTGCGAGGCTGGGCAAGCACATAGTAGGTGCTCACTAAGTGCCTGTCGAGGGGCCGTTTGGAGGACGGGGAAGTGGGCACAAAGCCAGCTGGGCAGCCAAGAGGCTCCTCCTGGGTCCTGGTTCACCTGCCCCTACACCAGGCTGGCGGGTGCGTCACCAGCCTTGACGGGGCCACTCTGCGGGGCTAGGACTTAATCTGGGGGTGCTGGCGGAGGGGGGAGGAACCCCCACTTAGTATCCAAGGTGACTCCAGTTTGAAGATGAGGAGGCTTGGCTGAGTGGAATCCAACAGGAAGAATGTCGGTCTCCTAGAGGACACAGCTCCAGGACCGTCTTGGAGGCCTCGGAGCTGCGCTGGGTGACCCCAAACAGCCTCCTGGGAAGGGGCTCGGACAGCAGAATTTTCTGACATGTCAGATTTCACAGGCTTCTGCTGTGACCACATGGTGATAGCGGGGGAATCAAGGACCTGAGCTTCCTTCCAGGATGAAGGGGCCCTGCTTTGAGAACACGGTAGCCCTTCCGGATTCTTCCTGGAACCCCAGAGGCCCCTGACCTCTGGCGCCTAACCAGAGGCCCCTGACCTCTGGTGCCTGATTCACGTGGTGCCCTCAGAAGCGCCTCCTCCAGAGCCAAGTGTAGATGTCACTGGAAAATCCCAAGGGAGAGGGGTCGTTCTCAAAAAGACGAGGCAAAGCCAGTTCAAGCAGAGTGGCTGAGGACTTGTGTGCCTGCCTTTTTCTTTTGAGATCCAACCAACAACCAAATCATCCATCCATCCTTCATCAATTTATTATCCAGCCACCCTTCATTAATTTATTATCCATCCATCCATCCTTCATCAGTTTATTATCCATCCACCCTTCATTAATTTATTATCCATCCATCCATCCTTTATCAATTTATTATCCATCCATCCTTCATTAATTTCTCATCCATCCATCCATCACCAGTTTATTATCCATCCAGCCTTCTTTAATTTATCACCCATCCATCATCCTTCCATCCCCTCGTCTCTTCATCAATTCCGCCCCCTCCCCCTCCCCGGCACTTATCCATCAGCATCTGCTCTCTCCCCAGCCTTGTGCTAAGCTGTAGGGGGTGCCAGCTGGGCAACCACGGCCCTGGCTCCCAGGGACCTCTATGCCTAGCCAGGGAAGAAGCATGCCCTGCAAACGGGGCAGGGCGGAGGATGCCTGGGACCCCAGGGAACCATGAAAGCAGAGAGGGGAAACCTCATGGACCCACAGAGCAGGGGAATCCAGGAGAGATTCCTGCAGGAAGCGACCTCCGCGCCTTGCCTCGAGAGACAAACGCCACTGGCCAAGGGAAAGGGGCAGGCGTGCCAGGCAGTAGTCTGGGCCTTGGCGACGGCAGTGAGGTGGGAGGGGAGGCTGGTCAGGGGAGGGGTGCAGAGGGGCAGCTTCTGAGGTGGGTTCCCTTCTCCCCGCCCAGCCACTGCAAGGCGCTGAGAAGCTGCTGAACGCAGTCAGGGGGTGACTGAAGGAAGGCAACAGCTGGGGGTGGGGGGTGGGCAGAGGAAGGAAGGGGCGCCCTTTATGTCCATCCCGCCCTGTCCTTCCAGACACCAACAGAGACGCCAGGACCTGTGCATCCAGTACCGAAGCCGTGCAGCCCAGGCCGTGGCATCAGCACAACCTCGCAGGCAAATTTGCTGTCCATGGTTTTGGGGGAGTGATGTCTGTCTTTTAAGTGATGCGATCTGTTTTCCTTGTTTCGTCTACCAAGGCTGTCAGGCTGCCACTCACCTAACAGGCACCGGGGGTGGGGGGAAATCAGGGGACATTCAGAGAACATGTCCACAGGCCGTCAGAGCGAAGGGCTCTGCAGGAGCTTGGGGGCCAGGGCCTTCACGTTAGGGAGGGGAAACTGAGGCCCAGGGGACGTCCCCGGTGCTGCGTCTCCTCTCGGCTGCTCTGGGCTCTCCTTGGGCCTCCTCCCCCAACAGCCCGGCCCCTCTGCGCTGTGTCCATGCTCCTGGGGCCTGGTATACAGTAAGCGCTCTGTGAATGCGCGTTTCCTTTCTGACCTTCCTTGGCCCACAGCTTGCAGAGTGGCCAAGATCTCAGGGCCCGAACAGAGCAGAACAGTAACACAAGATCCACCCCAGTCCCCTCCTGGCTGAGGAGGAGGATGACCTGGACGCCCCATGCGGCCCGCACCTCGATGTGGCAGAACAAGGCCTGCCAGCCGCTGAGACGAGGCTGGGCTAGAGGCCAGGGGGCTGCCCCACTGGTCCTCTGCTCGCTGCCAGGGGCCCGGCTCCAGGGGGGCCAAGTGACCCCCCTCCAGCCTGGCTGGTGGGGCTCAGGTCAGTTCTCGACTTGCTCAGACCCCTCAACCTGATGTCGGGACACCACCCGGCAGTTGATGGACCTCCAGCTGGCCGAGTCACCGAGGAAGGGGCTGCAGGAGGACTGGGGAGACAGGGCTCCTACTGGGAGCCCCGGGGGCTCTTCCCGGCACAGAGAGGGTGGAGGTGCTCCAAGCCCCCCATCATGGCCCCTCAGGGTTTTCCCGGCCACAGGACTCCCCCGGAGCTGTGTCCAGGAGGCATCTGCAGACTTTGCTCTGCGTGGCCCTGAGGATTCACCTGCTGGACGCAGCATGTGCTGCGTGGGGGGCCCAGGACCCGGCAGGGCGGCTCCGGGAGGCGCGGCGCCCGCCCTACAGCAAGATCTCGGGAAGGGTCGAGTCTGAACCGGACCGGTGCCCTCAGTCCAGACCACGCATCTGTGATTTCCTGCGTCCTTAGAAGCTCATCCCCTTGACGCGGCCCAGCCAGGGCAGAACATTCCAGCTGGCACCCTGGCCTGCTGGGTTTATTTCTGGGTTCACCCTCTGAGGCTGCTTCTCGACCCTGGTGGTTAGAAGCCAGTGTTCCCGTCTTTGCTTCTTGAATTCTCCTTTCCTGACCTCATTGGAGTCACCGCTGTGGGTCTGGCCTCTCGTCCACAGGCCCGGAGGACAGGGTCCCAGCAGAAGGCGTGGAGTCACCGCTGTGGGTCTGGCCTCTCGTCCACAGGCCCGGAGGACAGGGTCCCAGCAGAAGGCGCCTGGCGTGGAGCCTGGCACAAGGGCAATGGCGTCCAGGTGCCGTCTGAGTGATAGGGAGAGCTGCAGAAACATGCCTGGCATCTGCCGAACGCCGGAGAGGTCATTCTCTCTTTCTGTAGATGAGGACGCTGAGGTTTGGAGGCACCAGTGATGCCCAGAGCCCAGCACCTCGAGGCGGCAGAAGCGGGGGCGTGTGGCACCCCTGCCTGTCCCAGGATGAGGGGTGAGTGATGGGAGATCCGCACAGAGGCGCCCTGGAAGCAGACCCCTCAGCTGCCTCCGGCGGCTTAGCCCAGACGGGGCCCTCATTTGGACCCACTGCTCCTGCCACGTTGCCCAGCCCACAGGGGAGGCCACCAGTGGGAAGCTGGTCCCTGCTCAGCAGTGGCAGTGGGGCCTGAGGAAGCCCAGCTCACTCCACCTTCCCTCTCTGGTTCTCTGTTCCTAGCAGACACCCAGGGCTGGATGGAGGATGTAAAACAATTCACACCTCGGTTGGCACACATTGTATGGATGACTCCACCTCCATCTCAGGAAAGCAGTGGTGAGGTTAAAAGCCTCGGAATGAAGTAGCAATGCAGCATCCTGCCCCTGGGGCGGGGGGCAGTGAGCGGAGGGAAGGAGGGGCAGAGGGAGGCGGCCACCCACGCCCTGCGCTCCCCCTTCTGTGACTCACACGGTGAAGCGAAGCTCCTGCAGATCCTCGCAGCTTCCCTGGGGGCTGGAACGCTTGTCTTGAGCTTTCAAAGACTTTGAGTGCTGGGAACATTTGAAACTGTGCCTTTTGCACCTTTGGTCAAGAATTTGAGGTTTCAAGCCTTCACGGACGTGCATTTTAAATACACCGCTGCCTTTGGGTCCAGGGACCTGAGTCCACAAGGCCTAGGGTGCCTGATACACGTGGCCTGACCCCCTCTCTGTGTGGGAGCTGGCGCCCCACGAGCGGCATTGAAATCGAGGCTGATTCGCATTCTTCCCATTGACACTCTTCCCCCATGGAAGCAGGCGGACCCCGCCCCAGTGGCAGCCACTGACTAAGACCCCTGGGGCACGGACGGGCAGGAGGAGGCCCAGGAGCTGGAGCTTTTCCTTGCCGTCATCCGTCTGGTTGTGTCACTCGCCCCCCACTGCAACGCCCCCCTCTCCAGGATAACGTGAGATGCCCGCCCTGACCGCCAAGGCCTCCTGCCTTCTGAGGTGCACACGCCCACAGGGGTCTCGCCTCCTGGCCTCCTTGTGGCTCTGATCGGGCCATTCTGAGAAACACAGTCCCTCCTCTGTCCGGAAGGACGGCCCTGCCGCCTCCACATGGCCACTCACTCATTCATTCACTCTCATTCACTCACTCACTCACTCACTATCCATTCATTTACTCACTCATTCCTTCACTTACTCAGCCACTCATTCATCACCTCACTCATTCATTCATTCACTCTCATTCACTCACTCATTTACTAACTCACTCATTCATTCATTTACTCACTCATTCCTTCACTTACTCAGCCACTCATTCATCACCTCACTCACTCATTCACTCTCATTCACTCACTCATTTACTTACTCACTCACTTATTCATTCATTTACTCATTCCTTCACTTACTCAGCCACTCATTCATTACCTCATTCACTCATTCATTCACTCACTCATTCACTTATTCATTTACTCACTCACTTATTCATTCATTTACTCACTCACTCATTCATTCACTCATTAACTTACTCACTCCTTCATTCACTCACTCATTCACTTATTCATTCATTTACTCACTCATTCATTCATTATCTCACTCACTCATTCATTCACTCAGTCATTCGCTTATTCATTCACTAACTCATTCACTTACTCATCATTTACTCATGTGCTCACTCTCATTCCTTCACTCATTCATCACTTACTCATTCACTCACTCATTAGCTTACTCACTCATTCATTCACTCTCTCACACACAGCCAGGCTGGGATACAACTGCCGAAGGGTCAGATGCATCATCCAGCTCAGGGTCTGGGGTCCAAACCCTCCAGGCTGCAGCTGGTGCTGGAGCAGAAAGAGGAAAAGAGCCCCGGGTTCAGGCAGCCATGAACCCTGGCCCGGGCCTTGGCGGTCCCTGCTCTGTGACGGGGCAGAGACACTGTCTCTCTGACTGCCACACGCCCCATCCACACCTGGGTGCGCACAGCCCCAGCCTGGCCCTTCCGCCCCCAGGACCAGTGGCTGGCTGGTGGGCCCACCCCAGAGTCTTGCTCTCTGCCATTTCAAGGGACACAGCAGTCCTCCCAGGGCAGCGGACTTCCTTTTCCAGAGGAGCCTGGGGTGGGTCTCAAGCTTCAGGAGGACACCTTGCAAGTTGCGAGCAAGTCTTCCCTCTCCTTGGGTTCGTTACCTCCTCTGTAAAGGGAGGGTGCTGACCTCTCAGGGTTGCTGTTATTTTGAGGGGAGTCCAGGGCCTGGCAGGGGAGAAACGGCCACCATGGCAACTGTGGACAGTGTCAGGGCTGAGCTGCTGAGAGCTGGTGGGGCTGTCCCCTCTCTGAAGGGTGAAAGGGAAGCCAGACGCCAGCCGCTGCCTGGCAGTGGACTTTTAAAACATGTGACTTTATTTGCAATGATTCTTCTAACTCGCATAAACCTTATTTTAGAGTTTTATCCAATCGGCACACATTTAGTGACCCCTGAAGAAGTTTCTAGTTTAATGGGGTTAGACAGACACAATCACAACATGCTTTTTTTCCCCCTTATGCCAGTTGTATATGTGTCTCTTTATCTCCCCGCTAGAAACTTCTTTAGGGACCAATCACTGTCAACCAAGATACAGATTATCATTCCATCCATTCACCCATCCATCCTTCCATGTATTCATTCACCATTTTGTTTTACATCCTTCCATTGGGCCATCTGACTATTATTCTTTCAACTATTCAAGTATCCTTTGACCCATCCTGCCACCCATTCATCCTTCCATCCATCCATCCATCCATCCATCCATCCATTCTTCCATCAGTCCATCCATTCATCGATCCACCCATTCTTCCATTGGTCATCCATCCATCAATCCATTCATCCATCTATCTATCCATCCATCCATCTATCCATTCTTCCATTAGTCATCCATCCATCTATCCATCTTTCCATCCATCCATCCATCCATCTATCCACCCATCCTTCCATCCATCCATTATTCCATTGGTCATTCATCCATCCATCTATCCATCCACCCTTCCATTCATCCATCCACTCATTCTTCCATTGGTCATCTACCCATCAATCCATCCATCCACCATTCTTCCATTGGTCATCCATCCTTCCATCCTTTCTTTCATCCACTCATCCATCCATCCATCCATCCATTCATTTAGTTAACACCTATCATGTGCCCACTCTGGACCACACAGACATCCCTCGGGGGGAGGTGCCAGGAGACCTGGGCTTCCTGGGGATGCTCTGGCACTGGCCCAGTGGACACAGTGTGGCCCCAGGCCTGTGACCATCAAGTCCCCCCCTGAGACTGGAGCTCCATGTGGGCGGTGTGGCTCCCGTGGTCTCCTACCTGCGCCCATGATGAGGCCGGGTGCGCTGTCCTTCGTGTGCACGGTACCCGACACGTAGGGGTTGTCTGCCCAGCGCAGGTGCAGGTGCAGGTGGCAGTCCGGCTGTGGGGGAGAGAGGGGGTCGCAGTCAGCACCTGGGAGGGAGCAGCGACCCGAGAAAAAGCAGGACCCAGGCAGAGCACAGCCCCGTGGCTTCTGGGCGGGAAGGCAGGGCCAGGGTGTTTTAGAGGAGAGGGAGGAGGGTGGGGAGGAGGCTTGGAGGCTGACCCCTGGGTGCAGGCCTCAGGCCGGGGCCAGGTGGGTTTCTCCAGGGGAGGGGCCTCTCGGCCTGGGTGCTGAAGGGCGGGTTCCCCAAACAGTCTCCTGAGCACAGAGCTGGACCACAGAATGGGACTCCAGAAGCCTGCATGGCCTGTGGCTACATTCATTCATTCATCCACCCAGAACCTTTATTGGGGGCCTCTGAGGTGACCATGGGCATCACGGGACAGCTGTGGGCAGCCTGTAAAGTGCGTCCTCTGGGAAAGGCAGGCGGTACAGTGGGTGTCTTAGCGCCCAGTTTACTCTCGAACATCGGCAGGACCTTGACGCAGCCTGGCTGGTGCCGGGCTGATGGGCAGAAACACTGGCTGTTGGAAGAATTCCAGCGCCCCTCATGTTGCTTGGTGGCTACCTCTGGGCCAGCCCCGAGCCACACACTTAATGGTGCATGTCACGGAACACTCTCGGCATCCGTCCTACCATCCCCTCTGTGTTGATGGGGAAACCGAGGCAGAGTGTGTTTAAGCAACTTCTCACAGCTGGGGCTGGGGCCGCAGCTGGGGCTGCCTGGTTCCAAAGTCCACAGTGTGAGCCCTGCAGGGAGGACAGGGGTGGTCTGGCACTTCCAGGCAAACCAGGCCTGTGGCCCCCAGAACGAGGAAGCACCAGCTGTTTCTTGTCCAGCGTCATCAGACTGCCCATCTGTCTTTGACCCAGCTGCCTGCCCCCCGCCCCACTACTCTGCTGAGATGGTAGAGGCCAAGCCAGCTCCCTGGGGTGGGACTGGGGGCCCCAGGGGTGTAGATGAGCTGAAAGGATGTATCCTCTGGACTGACCCTCCTGAGTCTCCCCGGGCCTCAGTGACTTAAGCCCACAAGCCCCACGACCTGCAGAGGCCCTCAGCACCTGCACATATGATGGGAGGGGATGCACGGAGTGCCAGGCTGCTCTCGGGGTGCAGAGTCAGACATGGCGGGGTCCGCCAGGGCCACCGAGGGCATGGATGGAAAGACCTCAAGGGCAGGCGGGTGCCAGGGGAGAGTGGGCCTGGGTACCTGCCGGGTCTGGGTGGGTGTGACAGGCTGAGGGGGCAGGACCATGCTGCCCCAAGGCTCTCCTTTCTTGGCGCCTCCACACACGGGGGCTGACTGGTGTGCTAAAGGAGTGTCCATCAGAGACTGTCGGCTGGCGGGAAGGCCACGCTGTTGGCCACTGCGAGCGAGGGGACCTGTCCCTCTATGTATCCCACCGCTCAGCTCAGCCCAGTGTCTGAGAAGAGTGGCCACGGACAGCAAAACGAACAGGTTTTCATTCTGAGTCCAAAGGTCAAGAGAGGTAAAACTACCTCCAAGGGCAACTGATCATCCTAAAACAGGTCTGATCCATGCCTGTCTATTAACAAGTCCCCTTCAGAATTTGCTGTCTGGCTCAAGAAACTCCACGGGGCTCTGTATCAACCTAGACAGGTGGGATGGGGAGGGAGACAGGAAGGAGTTTCAGCAGGGAGTGGGTATATGTACACCTATGGCTGATTCCTGTTGAGGTTTGACAGGAAACAACGAAGTTCTGTAAAGCAGTTATCCTTCAGTTAAAAAAAAAATTAAAAAAAAAAAGCCCCCTTCATTTCCCCGTCACTAGAAAGCAATCTTCCCAGCCAGAGAGCTTGTTGTATGACCCAGGAAAATCTTTCTGACCCAGAGTCAAAAGAAAAGCAGATGACTCAGAAATCCCACATGTGGGGAGCCCCAACGGGGCTTTTTAATGTGACTATAAGCAAAGGATGCGAAAGAAAAATGTCTGACGCTGTCACTTCTGAGCGACGCAGTTGCAGGTGTAACTTATTCCCCTTTCTCTACATTTCTGCATTTTCCAGGTATTCTGCAATAAGCAGGGGTCACTTTTCTGATGAGAAGTAGAACCTTAAGTGTAGCCTGCGCTGTGCATTGAGAGTTTGCGTGGCTGAGTGAAGGACACAGGCAGAAAGGAGACCCAGGAGGAGGGCCGCGCTGACGCCGCCCCGCACGCCCCACGGGGCCCCGCCCATGGCCGCCAGGGCTGCACAGGCCGGGGATGGGCCGGGGAGCCGAGGCCGCGGCTTCTGCCTTTCATGCCCAGCTGGGCGTCCTGACGCTTGTCCTCCCTCCGCTGTGCTCATCGGGGTCTTGGCCTGGCTTCCTGTGGCCACGTGCTTACTAGCTGGCTCCCACTTTTATTATTTTAAGGCCGGGGCATAAATCTTGAAAGGTTATCTCCTTACTGAGCTGCATAATTGCAGACAAGAATCTATTCTTAGCGAAAACTTGCTTTGACAGATTAATATGGCTTAACTTTGTCGACGATGATACAAAAATTGGCCCTTTCACAGCAATTCTGTTCTCAGAAGCGCTTTTACAAGTGGCAGGTAATTAATTCTCCCCGTAGGTCGACAGGTGCTATTATCCCTTGCTGCTAGCAGGAGGGGGGCTTATGCAGAGGCCGAGCGTAGCCCCCTAGTTGGTGAGGTCAGGGAGCGAGGACCTGAGGCTCTTCCCAGAAGGCACAGAGCCCCACCCTGGTCCTGGGGGGTGGTCACTGGATGGTCAGGTGGGGTGCCTACCATCTTGACGGGCCCTGCAGAGATCCAGGCAGGTCCCAAGAGGGCAGAATTGCTTGCTGTTTTGTGTTTTGATGTATTCCCAACACCCAGAAGAGTGCCTTTCCACAGTAGGTCCTGGTACATGTTTGCTGAATGAATATTCCTGTAATATGGGCACCATCGGACTTTCTGTTTGCAGAGGCAGAGCGATGGATGGGGGCCCCTGGCTGTGAGGAGCTTCCAGTCGAGGCTAGTGGGAAACAGAAGCATGTGTGCCCAGTGAAGGCTTCTCTGTAGAGGGGGCATGTAGAGAGGGTTTTCAGGTGTCAATAGGAGTTCACTGAATGAAGAGGAAAAGCCTTCTCCACCCCTAAGACAGACAAGACACGGGGGCAGCCTACACTCATATTCATGTAGAAAGGCACCTTTGGAAGATCAGGGTCAGCTTGGAGCTCATGAGATTTGGACCATGTCCTGGCCCCATCACTTATCAGCCCCCACCCCCTACTTCCACAGGCAGAGTGTACTGCTTGACCCTTGCCACTGGCCAACAGGACTTAGCAAGTGTAGCAAGCAAGCTATAAGCTTGCAACATTGTTTCAATGTTTCTCCTCGCCCTCCTGCATGCCTGCTGTTGCCGGAGAGTGTGCCTGGCCTGGTCCCAGGAGGAGAATGCCGGATCCCTTCCTAAATCATAACCCCTAGGTGTGTGAGCGAGCCCAGCCTCTCACAGATCTGAAAACGAGTGACTGCTGTTTGGGGTGGTTTGTTACACAGCATTGTTGTGACCAGAGCTGACCGATACACTCCCCTCTCTGACCTCTTCAGTAAAGCAGGGAGTTTCTTACTGCCTTCTCCACCACACCCAGAGAAATAGGTGGTTCATGGCTCTCAGATGGCCCTTCTCAGATGTCAGCATCTCTAACCCCTGGATCCTGCAGTTAAGTCCGGGTCCCGCCCCAGGGAAGGTGTGTGCAATGAGCCGGACACTTACAGGCTTGCAGTTGGTTGGTTTCCCGTTCATGTCCGTGCTGGGAGGCCTCAGATAATCCCAGTCTCGACCCTTGTTGTAGGTGATGAGCGTCACCACCTTCCCGTTGACTTTCTGGTTCGCCAGGAAGACTCCTTTCACCCCTCGGACCTGGGACAGAAGCACAAGAGGGATGGTAAATGCCTGCCCGGCCCCTTGTGAGGGCTCTGTGTGCCTGGCCTCATTTGGCCCTGACCACAGCCCTGAGCCGAGGCTGACTGTACACCCTGGAGGTGAGTGGGGCTCTGGGCACAAGGGAGCAGAGATGCAGTCTGAGCTCTGGCTGGGAGATGGCTCTGTCTGACCCCACTTGCCAAGTGCATTTCACGACACCTAGCTGTCCTCCCAGGTCCAGCCACTGTCAGACAGTGAGCAGAGCCCTGGTCCTTAACGTGCATGTGCATCTTGGTCACCCCATCTTTAGCCGGGGCTCCTGACTCAGAGTCCCAGTCCCCCACCTCCTTCCCAGGGGACCCACAGGGCCTGGGCCAGTGGAGTCGCTCTGGGCTTCCCTCTGGGGACTTTGTCAGCTCAGCCCCATAGGAGGTTGCCACAGGAGGTTGAGGATGGGGTCCATGCTGGTCCCAGCCTGCCCTGAAAGAGGGTCAAAGTTCCCCAGGCTCCCTTTCTCAGGGCTCCTGGGGGGCCCCAGGGAGGTGACCCCCACACATGCCATTATAGTCACTGAGTTGGCTCATAAGACATGGTCAAGCATCAGTAGTTCCCAGTTGTTCAACCTCCTGGTTCTACAGAGATGAATTTTTCTGGCAAGTTTCTTGGGTGTGGAGGCCTGGGACCCAGTAACTGAGGCCTGTTAGTATGGCCTGAGTTCCTTGGAGCCCCCATGGGCCCGAAGCAGCCTTTGCTGCTCTATAAATAGCATGAACCCAGGGCAACTGAGGCACAGAGTTACAAGATTTATCTGGAGTTCCCTGACCAGAGGTGAGGCTCAGGGCAACGGTGATATTCACAGTAAGTGCCTCTACGTGGCACTCAAGGGGGTTAATAAAGTGCCACTGCATTAAATTCGCAGACTCCACGAGGTCGGTGCCTTCCTAGGCCTCCATGGCAAGGCCCAGACAGGTGGGGAGCAGGCCGGGGAGGGACCCGAAGACTCTGATGCAGAGTGAATGGAGTATGTGTTTCCTCTGCAACAGGTGACAGACAGATGGCGCTTAAACTACACAAGATCATGTGACAGGTCTGGGGGCCGAAGCCCAACAGGAGTGGGTCCCACGGGCTGAGAGCAAGGTGTCGGGGGCCGGTTTGTCCTGGAGGCTCTGGGGAGGCGCTGGGTCCTTGCCTTTCCCAGCGTCTAGAGGCACCCAAGGGGCTTGGCTTGCTGCCCTTCCTCCATCTTCAGAGCCAGTGGTGCAGCAGCTCCCTGGCCATTCCTCCATGATTCCGTGTGTTTTTCTGATTCCTTCTGCTCCTTCCACTTGCGAGGACCCCTGAGATTGCAGTGGGCCTCATGGAAAACACTGGAAACTCTTCCCATCTTCTGACTGCCAACTCCATCCCCTTTTGCCTGCATCTTCTGCTAGGAGGCTGCTGTCTGGGGTGGGGATGGGGGGCCTGACCCTCACTCCACAGATGATGTTTCAGGGCGGTCTTTCTGGGGCACGACCAAGGGGCAGGAGGACCACGACCCCTTCTCTCTCACTCATGGTGATGTCACTCTGTCTCGGGCCCATCTGAGCATCACTGGAGGCAGGCACCCGGCTTGCCCCCTGCTGGGTCCACATGCCTTCCCTGAAGCCCCAGGGGCAGATTCGACGCTGATTTGCCTGGTGATGGCTTGACGGAAAGCTCTCTTTTATATCCCAGCTGGTCTCCATGAAAACACTCAGCAGTAAATAACCCAGGCCCTCCTGTTCCAGAGAGGTAGGAGCAGGCCGAGTCTCCCCGGGATGGGTCTGATCAGCTGAGCGCCAGCTTCCAAAGCTGACATGCCTGCTTCACGTGCCCACCCTCCTCATGGCTGTGCTCACTTCCAGGGGCTGACGTGACAAAGTATCACAAAGTGGGAGGTGGGGCAGGGCTCCAACAACAGAAATTCTGTTTCTTCACAGTCAGGCAGCCAGAGTTCCAGGATCAAGGCACTGGCAGGGCGGTCCTCCCTCTGAAGTTTCTCGGAGAGGATGCTTCCTCATCTCCTCCAGCTTCAGCGGTCTCCAGGCCTCCAGGGTCTCCGCTCCGTCCGCACAGACCGCCCTCCCTGTGTCCGTGTCTCCTCTTCTGCTCCTTACAAGGACACTTGTCATGGGTTTAGGACCCAACACAAGCTCATCTCCAGACCCTTCACTTAGTGATGCTGCAAAGATCCTTTTCCCAAAGAAGCTCAAGGTCATAGCTTTGATGTGGTTTTGCTTTTTTTTTGGGGGGGGGTCCCATTCAGCCCATTACAATGGCTGCCTCCTAGCTGTGGTCAGGACTTCTCAGCATCAGGGTACAGGACTGGGAGAACCCATGAAAATGTTAGTCGCTCAGTCATATCCAACTCTCTGCGACCCCATGGACTGCAGCCCACCAGACTCCTCAGTCCATGGGATTCTCCAGGTAAGAATACTGGAGTGGGTTGCCATTGCCTTCTCCAGGGGATCTTCCCAACCCAGGGATCAAACCTAGGTCTGCTGCATTGCAGGCAGATTCTTTACCATCTTGCGCCACTAGAGAAGTCCCCATGTCCCCCTTCCTAACCCAAGCTTCAACACAAGGGGGCCCCCAGAGAAGGGCTGTCATCTGGTCTAGAACCAGGACACCCACCCCCTCACCCTGAGGAGAGGTGTGAGTTCATGGCCCCTGAAAGTCCAGGCCTCTCGGGGCGGTGTTTGCCTGTGATGTCTCGGACAAGACATTTTTCCTGGATTGGCCGTTAGATGAATGATAACCGTGGCGATAATGGAACAGGCACACATGTAGAATCTCTAGGCCAGTCCCTCCCCACACACAATCTTGAATCCCCAGAAAGGGCCACGGCCGTGAAACCTGTTGAGAGCTCACTGAGTACTGGGCCGCTCTAAGTGTTCAGTGGAAACAGAGGCCTCCGGTTGGCACAGCAACCCTCTGAGGAAAGTACTGCTGTCACCCTTGTTTCACTACGAGGGAGCTGGAGCAGAGAGAGACTAGCTAACCTCCCTGAGGCCACACAGCAAACACACATCGGAACTGGATTTGAACCCAGGGAGCGGGGCTCCAGAGCTCTGCTCGTAATGACCACCCGAGACCCACCTTAGGTGGATTTCAGGGAAGCCAAGTCACTTACGAGGAGGGCCAGCTTTGGGCCCGGCCCCTGTGAGCTCCCTGCCGTCCCCATGGCCTTTCACTGCCTGGTCTTTGGCATGGATTGCTGTTTCCTGTTTCCTCACGCCTGGCTAACTTCAGCTTGGCCTTAAATCCGTCTGCATCTCTTCCTCCAGGAAGCACTCCCTGACTCCCATCTCAGATTGGTTAGCTGCCACTCATGGTGTCCTCTAGACGCTGACTCACCAGGTGGGAACCACTGGCGGGGGCTGGTCTTCCTGTAGGGTCTGGAATTCTGTGAGAGGTGGTCTACACCTCCCTGCATCCAGGGGGTGGGGCCTGGAGCCAGGCGCGTGCCACAGGCAATACGGATACCCGCAGAGGGCCAGGCTGTCCCTGTCTGCAGTGCCCTCATCCCAAGTCAGTGACATGCCTGTTTTGCGTGTAACTTTTAGCAAACAGCCCTAAGCCATGGACTGTGTCCAACTCAAGTAGTAAACCCACAAATGGGTTCTCATTGTAAACCAATGGTTACATTCATCACTTCCTTGGAGAAAGCAGTTCCGCGCTGCTGTTGACAACTCGGAGTTGGAGGCTGCAGCCCCAGCTCTGTCCGGGAGGACTGCTCCCACCCCGACTGACCCGCTCTGTCCGATCAAGGCTCGGCTGGCCACCTACGGGACACTCTCCCCTGCCCGGCAAGGACGGCAGAGTCTGGCAGGCCCACCACCGGCATCTACCATGAGGACACACTGGCCAGGGCTCCCCAAGGGAAGAGCTTAATGGTGGACAACCGAGCGAGGGGTTGCTGGCCAGGAGGGTGGACAGAGCTTGGGTCAACAGACCTGGGCTGGCCCTGGTTTTCTCACTTCCTCCCCATCTACCTGGGCAGGTTGCCTGCCCTGTCTGAACCTCTGGTTCCTTACCTGTAAAACGGCTGAGGGAGCCCCTCCCCAGCTCTGATGTGGACAGGGATACAAGAGGTGGCCTTGAAAGGTGGGGTCCAGGTTGGGCCATTGTGGGTGTGGGGCTGACATTTATGGAATCCAAGTGCATGGGAGTCAGAAGCCCCAGTTCAGAGCCTCTGATCTGATCAGATCAGCCCTTCAGCATCATGTGACAAGAGCACATTAAAGCTTAAATGGGACACAGACGGGGTGGGGCACCCCACCCAGGGAGGGCACTGGGGGCCTGGGAACTGCAGGCAGGGAGGTCCCAACCCCCAGCCTCAGAGACAAGAGCTGCAGGGCCAGGGGAGACACAGGGAGCTAGAGAGAGCCCGGCGGAGGTGAAACACAAGACGGGGCAGAGACCAGCCCTGGGTGGGGGGAGACAGAGAGGCCAGCAATGGGAGGGGTCCCATCCTCTGTCCCTCAGCCTGTTTGCGTGCAGCAGCGTTCAAGGCATGCATGGCTTTGCAGATGACAGCTGACGAGTAAGTTGATGGTGGGGACCGCTAACCTGAACCCCAACTCAGCAAGATGTCATCCCCATAAAAGAATTCCATTCTTCTCATGAGCAGAGTTACACAATGCTCCTTTCCTGGATTTTAAATCTCACCAGAAATATATACCTGCATGGTATATATTTTAAATCTCACCCAAAAAATACCTGCATGGTATCCTCTAGATCGGCAAAGAAAGCCTAAATTAAGGCATTTTTGCAGGGTGGGAGGAGCCGGGGCGGCAGTGGGAGGAGCCGGGGCAGGAGTGGGAAGGGCAGGGAGGGAGTGGGAGGAGCTGGGCAGGAGTGGGAGGGGCCGGGGAGGGAGTGGGAGGGGCCAGAGGGGGAGTGGGAAGGACTAGGGAAGGAGTGGGAGGGACTAGGGAGGGAGTGGGCGAGGCCGGGGCTGGGGGAGAGGCCCGCCCCCTGGAGCACACGCTAGGGGCCCCAGATGCCCCTCAGGTCCCACCTCCAGGATGTCGATGACCACGTTCTCCTCCGCCTGCCGTGAGCTGCGCACGTCCTCCAGCACCAGCGAGTAGCGCACGCCGCGCGTGTCCGACTGGTACAGGTTGTAGGTGTCGGTCTGGTACCACTCCTGCACGGCCACGAACACCTGGCTCTCGTCCGTGCTGATGACCTGCAGATCCTGGGGGCCGTGGGGAGCGGCGTCAGTGCGGGCTGGGGGCTGATGCGGGGGACAGAAGCTGGCCTGGGGGTGGGGCGTAGCGGGGATAAAGCAGGCCCAGGGGGAGGGATGGGCAGGCCTCAGACCTGGTGGGATTGGGGGGATTGGCCACAGCCCTCTTCGCGTCAGGCTGACCTAAATTTTTCACCCCGGCTCTGCCCGCAGCGCTCTGTGGCCTTAGACAAGTCCTGTTACCTCTCTGGGCCTCCGTTCTCCCAGCTTCAAAACGGGGGTCATGTTCCCACCCTCCACATTGGGTGAGGGGAGGGTTGCCCAGGCACTGGGTGGGACGCAGTGTTACTTCTCCCCACCCCCGGCCCCTGCCATGCCGTCTGCCTGCTTGTCCCTGCAGTTAGGAGGAGGCTGAGTCTCCTGCACCCCAGATCATCACCCCTGGGAGGCGGGGACGGGGCTCCTTCCAGGCCCCTCCCCGACCCCACCCTGAGGCTCAGATAAGCTACCTGTGTGTCCACTCACTCAGCATGTGTTCCCTATGTGCCTGCTGTGTGCCAGGTGCTATGCCAGGCCCCAGGCCCCACTGGGCACCCACACTGGTCTCTGCCCTCCGGGCTGCACCCTGGGAAGGCGGGCTGGATTAATTTGCTTCAGCCTCACGCCCAGGGCCTCCTTGATGGCCTGCTATGGGGAGCTGCCCTTTGCCCACTCTTCCTCCAGGCTAGGACACCCTGCCCTCGCCCACGGCCCCTACCCTCGCCGGGCACACAGCCAACGAGGCCCGTGCAGGGCGGTGGGCAGCTCGGGGCCTGGCGGGAGCTGAGGGCAGGCGCCTGGCCAGCAGGCTGTCAGGAGGCCTGCCCTGAGAAGGTCAGCGGCCGAGGCCAAAGCCCACCGCTTGGCAGCTCTTGAGGGGGCCAGGCACCCCGTCTCAGGATTTGTTCTGGATTTGACAATTCAGAATTAAAAAAAAAAAACAAACAAAACACAGTCGAATAAAAAGGAAGAAGAAGAAACTCAGGGCTAAGCTGAGTTTCTTGTTTTCCTTTTCGCTCCCAGCCAGCGCCAAACGCTGCGTGGGAGCCGCATGAAAAGGCATCTGAACACGCTTGTTTCAAAGCCGAAACGAGCTTTTATGCTGCAGCCTCTCCAGCTTGCCTTCTATCACACCTAGACTTTTATTGCCCCTCTGGCTGCGGAGCTTCCAAGATCCAGGGGCGGAGGACAGATGGCGCAGGAGGCGGGGCAACGCTGGTCACGCCGTCAGTGTGCCCACCACGGCCAGTGTAGTTCGGGGTTCTCTTCCCTTTATAGACCTTCAATCCGGTAGAGGCCGGTGATGGCGCCTCCCCTCCTGCCTGCTCCCACCACCCCCACCTCCTGGTGCTGTGCAGCCATAAAAAAAGGGCTTTGCAGAAAAGAGGGGGGCAGTGCTGTGAAACATCTGCGATGCACCTCCCTCCCAGGGACAGCGACTTGCGGATGTGGGTGGACCCAAGCAACTCACAGCCAGGGAGGGGTTACAGAGTCAGGGTCACAGGCCTGTCGGCTCCCCCTGTGAGATGGGACAGCAGGGTGATGGGGAGTCGGAGGGCTGCGCCTGAAGCCTGGGAAGTGGGGCATCTCTGCTCCTCTCACCCACCTCCCCTCTCCTATTTCTCCATGCTAAGCCGCGGTGTCCCGGGTATCGCTAATCCTGCAGCCCGGCACAAGGAAACCTTCCATCGGCCAGAGGTTCCGAGCTCACGCAGTGCCCAGCATCAGTCACACGGGGATTGATCAGTATTTACCGCTATTACCTTCATTCTGACTTTGTCTCCCCCACACCCAGGTAAATGTTTACAAAACCTGAGTAAATGTTTACTAGAATTTGGGAAACAAAGGAAAATGTGTGAAGGGAGTAAAAGTCGCCTGTAGTGCTGCTCCAAGAGAGACCTGATACTAACATTTAAAAATGTTTGCTTCTGGGCTTGTTCCCAAATGTGATTCATATACTTTCTCAAGTGTGGTTTGTAGCTTGCTCTTGTGTGTTATATGAGGAGCATGTTTCTCTGTTGTTCAATTATTTATAAACACCACTTTTAGTGACTGCATGATATTCCCTTTTGTTGATGTACCATATTTCACTGAATATTTCCCCACCAGTGAGCTTTTTAGCATCTCCAGCACTATGTGCAAAACAGCCATAAACATTCCCAAACATATATCTCTGTGTTCTCTGTAGTTCCACAACATAAATCTAAAAAGGGAAATTGCTGCATCTGAGAGAAGGAACATTTTTAAAGTTCTTGTTACATTAGGTTCCTTTCCACCAAGCAGAGCTAGAGGGTGTAGTTTCTCTCCATGCACTGAGACCAGTCTTTCAGAAATCCTTGGTGTTTAGAGAGTGATAAATAATATACAATTTTCCCTTAAATTATTCATATTATTCTTCTTTTAAAAGGAAAGTTAGAAGCAGAGACATCTGTTGACTCCATTTCTAAACAAAAGACATTAAAATATCACACATATGTATATGTGTTTCCATGTGTGTATATACTTATATGGGCTTCCCAGGTGGCTCAGTGGTAAAGGGTCTGTCTGCCAATGCATGAGATGCAGGAGAGATCCCTGGGTGGGGAAGATCCCCTGGAGGAGGAAATGGCAACCCACTCCAGTATTCTTGCCTGGAAGATTCCATAGACAGAGGAGCCTGGCCAAGTACAGTCCATGGAGCCACAAAGAGTCTATGGGGTCACAAAGGACAAGACTGAGAGACTGATCGTGCACACACACACACACACACACACATCTATATGTCTGGAGAAAAATGTGGAAACATCAGAGTTGCCAATGTTTGTTATCAGGTAGAATTAGGTTTGATTATAAGTAATAGAAACTGCCAAAAAAAAAGTGACTCAAATGTGATAGAAACTCATTTTCCCCCAAATGTAAAAGGATTCCAGAGGTAGACATTCCAGTGTAGAAGCTGGAATCACCAGGGACAGAGTCACCAAGAACAGAGGCTCCTTCTGAGTCACCATTCCACTGCCCCATTCTACCCCATTCTACTGATGGTCTGAGATGATCGCTGGACCTCCAGCCAGCCATCTCGTCAACGGGCAAGGCAAAAGCGGGGAGAGAGGAAAGAGGAGGGAAAGGCTAGTCTTTAAAATAGGGCTCTGAGAATTCTCCCAGACCTGACGATTCCACTTAATCTCATTGGCCAGATTTCAGAAATGACCACATGTAGCTGCAAGGGAAGCTGTAAAATTTATCCCAGCTGGGAAGCAAGGCACCAGCTAATATTTAGGGTTTGTTAAACTAAGATGAAGAATAAGAATGAATATACAATGAACAAAGTTAGTGGAGGTGATGGAGTTCCAGCTGAGCTATTTAAGATCCCTAAAAGATGATGCTGTTAAAGTGCTGCACTCAACATGTCAGCAAATTTGGAAAACTCAGCAGTGTCTACAGGACTGGAAAAGGTCAGTTTTCATTCCAATCCCAAAGAAACGCAATGCCAAAGAATGTTCAAATTACCGTACAGTTGTGCTCATTTCACATGCTAGTAAGGTAATGCTCAAAACCCTTCAAGCTAGGCTTCAGCAGTATGTGAACTAAGAACTTCCAGATGTACAAGCTGGATTTAGAAAAGGCAGAGGAAGCAGAGATAAAATTGCCAACATCCATTGGATCAGAAAGAAAGCAAGGGAATTCCAGAAAAATATTTACTTCTGCTTCATTGACTACACTAAAGCCTTTGACTGTGTGGATCACAACAAAATGTGGAAAGTTCTTAAAAAGATGGGAATACCAGGCCACCTTACCTGTCTCTTGAGAAACCTGTTTGTGGGTCAAGAAGCAATGTTAGAACCAGACATGGAACAACATACTGGTTAAAGGTTGGGAAAGGAGTATATCAAAGCTGTATACTATCACCCTCTTTATTTAATTTCTATACAGAGTACATCATGTGAAATGCCAGGCTGGATGAATCACAAGCTGGAATCAAGATTGCTGGGAGAAATGTCAACAACCTTAAATATGGAGATGATACTGCTCTAATGGCAGAAAGCAAAGAGGAACTAAAGAGCCTCTTGATGAAGGTGAAAGAGGAGAGTGAAAAAGCTGACTTAAAACTCAACATTCAAAAAACTAAGATCATGGCATCCAGTCCCATTACTTCATGGCAAATAGATGGGGGAAAAAGTGGAAGCAGTGACAGATTTTATTTTCTTGGGCTCCAAAATCACTGTGGATGGTGACTTCAGACATGAAATTAAAAGATGCTTGCTCCTTGGAAGGAAAGGTATGACAAAACTAGACAACATATTAAAAAGCAGAGACATCCTTTTGCCAACAAAGGTCTGTATAGTCAAAGCTATGGTTTTCCCAGTAGTCATATACTGATATGACAGCTGGACCACAAAGAAGGCTGAGCATGAAAGAATTAATGCTTTCAAACTGTGGTGTTGGAGAAGACTCTTGAGTCCCTTGGACAACAAGGAGATCAAACCGTTGCATCCTAAAGGAAACCAACCTTGAATATTCATTGGAAGGACTGATGCTGAAGCTGAAACTCCAATACTTTGGCCACCTGATGTGAAGAGCTGACATTTGAAAAGACCCTGATTCTGGGAAAGATTGAGTGCAGGAGAAGAAGGGGTGACAGAGGATGAGGTTGTTGGATGGCATCACTGACTCAGTCGACATGAGTCTGAGCAAATTCCAGGACATAGTGGAGGATAGGGAAGCCTGGTGACTGCAGTCCATGGGGTTGCAAGGAGTTGGACACAAATAAGCGACTGAACAATAGCAAGAGTTCCTACAATAGTTGCCTTGAAGAATGAAGTGAGATTGTCACGGAAAGGAGGAATGGAGCGGTAAACAGGTAGAGATGGTATATATATTTGCATTATTCCATTAGTTGTGGTGAAAATATTTTAAAGAAGTGCTTTTGGGAAGCTTAAAAACATTTTAGTAAGAATGATAGGGGAAATTTCTTCATAGATTTTTACATAAAA